AGTCCCTTTCCAGATTGTACAGACTTTGATCTTCTCATTTATCTTTCTAGACTGTTGACTCCCTACCCTTTTAAACCCAAAATGAATCGGAAGCATCGATTTGATAAGTGCCCAGTAGAAAGGAGTAGCGCCAGCCGATGTGACTGAAAATCCTGCAAATGCCACACACTGAACAGAGGACTTTCAACTTCATTCCTTGGAAAATGAAAGCACTAAGTGTTCTCACCAGGGACACAAAAACTAGAAAATGAAGGGAAAAAAAAAACCCATTCCATGCAATCTTCACATTTTACAAATGAGAAACCTATCCGGTTGCAAAGGAAATAAACAGAAAATATCGCTTGACACCAATTCGTAGCATTTATTGACATTTCCATTTAAAATGCTAGGAAAGCTGTATAAATTGTAAACATGGAAACCAAACACTTGCATAAATTATTTCCAAAAACTCTACAGCACATTAGAAAACAGTGCAGCTAATCGAAGGGTAGAAACATAACCGACAAATAGAAGGGAAGATTCAATTACCAAATCGTATACCCATACCAAAATTTAAGTGCCCGTGTGAGACCAGCAAACCATGATTGTCAAGTTCAAGTTGCAGTACCGATGCCACAAGTGGCCTCAATGTACTCTGCGTATTTTCGTACATTAACACCCATAATCTAGGAGTGGGAGTGTGGGGAAAGTCAGAAGAACATGGACCTTGACAAAGTAGGAGGAGACAAGTGGGCATCCGGAGCGGCTCTGCTAAGCAACCTTTCCTGTAAGGGGAAGGCTGCCCGCTCTCCACGTCCCCTAGAGGATGCTCTGGAGTCCACTCCCCTTTTCTGAAATGAGCCCTCTGGTGCTTAGAGCAACTGAGTTCATTGGTGGAGCTCCCATTCCTCCAGCACCTCCTTCTTTCCCCACATCTGCAGAAGGGGCAGTACAGGGTATGTGGCCTGAACTTGGCCCTGTACTATTCCCGACTTGCACACCCAGGGAGCCGAGTTACAAATGCATGAAATCCGGTGGGCATGATGCTCCAAGTTGTCCAGAATGGTTCCATGGAATCAGGGCCCGCAACACCCAAATCACTATTTTTATCTCTATCCCTTCACCCTTTCTTTAAATCCAAAGTGGCCCCAGAACAGAAAAACCTGGAAGGAGGAGGAAAAGCAAGCTGCCTGCACAATTATCTACCCTGTGGGAAACTAATATGGACTCAAGCTCTTCAGATTTGGACAGTCACTCTTTCTCACTCATTCACTGGCTCCTAACATTGTTTTTTGTTTTCTAAAGGCATTTAAATTGTTCTTTTCCTAAATGTCAATGCTGCTGTGTGTTCTTAAAATGAATTCTCAAGTGTGCCATTACACCCTCGGGCCTGGAATTAGGATCGCACCGTGAGATTTGGGTTTTCAAATCTTTTTAGTGTCAGAGAAAGGAGTCCTCGCTTAAACACTGAAAATCACAGCCAAAAATATCCAGAGAAACCTGAATTGTGCACACTCCTTGCTCACTCGGTATTACGTGTCAGCCTATTACATTTTATGAGTATGGTACAGCAGATGCTCACAGAAACCTTTCTCACGTGTTACAAGAATATCTGTTAATGTGCCGGATGAAACGTAAAGATGAAGTTCAAGTTACCATCCCATAGAAATGGGCTTCGTGGTCAATGGGCTGTTTGCAGGTACAGAAGTGGACTTTGCTGGGCTCCTGTCTGGGATGAATGTGGACAAGCAGGCTCTGGAGGCTGGCTTTGGAGGCTTGCTCTGGAGGTAGAAATGAAACGGCTAAAACTTAACTAAAGTCAGGGTGGGGGTGAAGACCGGAGGCCCCCCACCCCCCTTGCCCAGGACCTTAACCAGCTTCCCTTCCAACCGACACCCTTATGCACGCCTCAGGGTCTGGCATGAAGGGACTGAGGACTGTATTTAATGATTAGCTCATGAGTTACTGCACCTGCCAACCAGTGTCCCAGTGACTGGTCTGGCCACTGGAGCTGTGCAGTGCGGTCAACACGGGCCCTGTCCACAGTTCAGTGGAGGCTCAGAAAGCACAGAATTACTTGTTTCGGCCCAAAGCCTTCGGGCAGACCTTTGCTCTGCCTCCCCCGGGCTTTGCATCACAGGCCTTGTACCCTGAAAAGCCTGGTTGGCAGAAAACCCACTTAAACCTGCTGCTCAAAAGCCACGTGCCAGCAAACCCAAAACGTACTCTGAAATTAAATACGACTTGCAGAAAAAAACGTAGGTGGCTATCAGGAACTCACATATGTGGATTTACAACCCACCACGCGCCACCGAGGACTGAATGCGGCAGGACGGCTGGCTCTGAGCAGCGGAGCTGACGGTGGCGCTCTCTCACTGCTGGCCTGCTTCACAGCGGCTCCTTCGCAGACCTCGGTCTGTTCCGCTTCTCTCCAGGGCGGATCTCTTCCTCACAGGCTCAGCCCTTCTGCTGTTGTATCACTGCACGGGGAGGCTCGCACCCCTGTTCCTCCTCTTACAAAACTCCCCAGACAGTGCTGGAAGGACTTCCAACCCCCTATTGTAGCACATCGTCCCCCTATTGTAGCACATCCAGGATCAAGTTCACTTTCAAGGACAGCTCCGCCCATGGTCTCCCTCCTTCCCGGACCCTCTCTCCGGCTTCCCCAGGCCACTTCACCATTTCCCCGGGCCGCTCCCCTGTCCTCACTGAAGTAGCCGCTGAAGTTGCCCTTCCACCCAAGATCCTGTTTCCAAACACACCACTTGCGCTTCTTCCTGCTGAGTACCCTGCACACTCGTGTACTTCTGACCAATGTTACTGATGTTTAAACCGTGTTGCTTTTGTGCATCTTCCACCTTTCGCGCCCGTCTGTGTTATCTGACTTAGATGCTAAGATCCCAGAAGGCAGGGTGCCTGCTTGACATACTTGGGGCCAGAAAAGGCAGAAAATCAGAAGCATGAAAGATGTTTAGTAAACGCTGCTCGTAAGTTAATGGAGAAGGGAGTGAAGCTAAAGCAGAACAGGACAGAGGAAGAAGAGTCACACAGGCCCCTCGTTTTGCTCTGGGTACCGGCACGTGAACTCGGTCACCAGCAGGCCACAGTAATGGATCGTCCACCCCAGCACAACCACACAGATTGCATTTTACATTCTCACAGTGCTTCGTGCTCCCTTCTCAAGGGACATTTGCACTCACGATCACACTGGACTCTCACAGTGAGAAATCCGAGGAGGCGGGCAAGGGAGGCCCGTCCTTTTGTTTGGCTGATGGGAAGAGTGAGGCTCAGAGTGGGGACCTGACAGCCGACTCGGGAAACGGTCATGTCTCCAGACAGTATTCTCTAAAACACTGACTCGAATTTATAGCTGGTGGCATGTCCACCGGAACTCTGAAAGCAGAAAAAAGGAGACACGAAAATCTAACTCTGCGTTTCAGAGCGCCTCAAACGAACAGAACTCCAGAGCTCACGTGATACGCGTGAGGAACCCCCTCGTAACAGACAGCCTATGCTGCGTGTCTGCAGACCCACGCGGGGGCGGCGCCCCCCACGACAGCTCGTCTGTGCTGAGTGTGGCGACAGGTACAACTGCCGAGGCACGAGTCTCGAGAACACAAGGGCAAACTGGCTGTGCCTGACCACCAAGACCAGAGTACTGATGATGTCACGGCCCGCTCACACCCCCCACCCCCCCGGGCACCACAGGCTCTCTTTGGTCCTGAGACCAGCTATATCCATTCCAGGAACAGCAGCACAGGTTGAACCCTTTCATGCCAGTTTGAAAGGCATCACAGTTGCCACAGTAGCCCCTTTAAGACCGAGGCCCATGTCTTCCATGTCCCAAGGAGGCGACAGGTTTTAGGTGCAGACGCCACAGTGGGCAGAGCGGGGGGAGGGGGCCTGCATTTATCCAGTCCACCTGCTGTCACACGATTTGAAGTCACTGCCAGGTGTCCATAACACAACTCTGCTTGGATGTCTGAAATTCTTAACACATTCAGGAAACCTGGTATTTCTGAGTGACCCGCAAAGAGAATTCTCCGCTCTGGGTGTTAAACCAAGACCAAGGGTCAGAAATCAAGCCCAGGAAGGGGGACCTTCTCTCCCACGCTCTTGAAGCATGTGAGGGCTGCCTTTCCTTAACTGAGCATCCTTTGGAGACTTACTCGCCCGCAGCCCTCCTCTCTCAGGGGTGTGTAGGTAAGAGCAGCCACGTTTTCACTTCCCAGAACCCTTTGCCCTGCACTGTGAGGCTGCAGACAGGCTCAATGAACACAGTGCCGAGATGCGGCTCCGGGACAGCGCTTCCCCTGTGGAAACCCTACCACCAGCTGTTCCGGAGTCCTCAACATGGACACCGATGTGGATCAGAGCCCCCCCAGTTCTGCCTGCATATCTGCTGTCTAAAATGTTAGCTGAGTGAATAAAAAGGATTCAGAGTAGTGATGTGTTATCTAAGCCTGTTTTTCATCTGAGCTTCACTCAGGGCCCTGGCTGCTCCATTCCTTGCTCTAACTGTGGAAGTGGGGACATCGTGACTTCAGGAGTTAGCCTCAACAGAGGACACCCCCTGTCTTGCAGGCCCACGGCACACAGGTGGTTTCAACAGTTACTCAGCAGAGTCCAGTACAATGAAATCGGCTATTAACAGCAGCCCCCGCCTTCCCCTTGTTCCCTAAGCTCCCCTTTGCAGTTCTTGACTAAGCAGAGAGAGGCAGGCAAGAACTCAGTTTTGTTTCTGGGTCTTGAACTCACAGAGATGTGACCCCTGGGAACGTGCTCACGAATCACACTTTGGCGGTCCTAGGAATGCTAACAGGTAACTTTTGCTTACGTGAGCTTTTTTTCATTCAAACACAATTTGTGAGCAACGCATCGGCCACAAGCAAGGACCACCTGGGGCCCCCCGGAAACCCGCACTCTACGGGACTGGCCTCGAAGGGGATGTGTAGCAGAAGCGGGGTGCTCTGGGCAGTCCCGCGCGCCCAGTTACGAAACAGCGAATACAATGAATCGTGTAAATCTAAACTTCGACATGTATTTTGAATAACCAAATAAATAGGAAACTTCCCTCCCCCCCTCATTTGGGAGCGTTTTTTTTTTCTTTTCTTTCTAGAACAAAACAAAACCTTCGACATATTCTTCCACTGAAAAGCCAAAGTTGGTTTCCCAGACATGGAGGTGGAGCGCCCCGGAGCTGTAGCACCAGAAGAAGGAGGGGAAACACAGGCAATGGCTTCGACTGGGAGGGTCAGGCTCTACAATCTATCATTTGGTTTCTCACTAGTAGCTTTGTAAATCCCCGAACAGCCTTAGTGTCCTTGCTGTTAATATTACTAGTAACGTAAGTTCCTACGGAGAAACGGGGGGGAAGTAAGCTGTGAACGAAACGTCTTCCGGCCTCTCCTTCTCAGAAAACAAAGCAGCGGGTGCATCGTACAAACCAACCTCGAACATGTCTTCCCACGGAAACGCTGGATTCCCGTCAGCCCCACACATTTCATACATTTCCATCTTTTGCCTTGAAAAGGGAGACGAGCTTAGAAATTCTGGTAACTGAGGTTTGTGGTTCGTCTTCCGGGAAGTGCTGTTGGCTTTTGGCCAAGAAGTATGGAAATCACAATGGAACCCAAGTGGTCGCGACAATGCCAACTCATTAAAAGCTCCATGAGCTGCCACACAACTTAATGGCATCTTCTCAAATTGCAACTTGCTCCCTTCCGCAGGCCGGGGGCTCAAGCAGGCACTGGTCCTCTTGCAGGCGCCCCCGCGGCTGGTTTCCTGTGAGAGTCTTGCTTCCACGGGAAGCGGATACTTGGCACACGCGCAAGGCGAGGCCCATCAGCTGTGGAAGCTGTGCACGGCGGTCTGTTTTTGGGAGAGGCGCAGGAGCTCCTCGCGGATCGCCTTGATGAGCGAGGCCGAGGAGTGGCCGGGCTGCAGGTCCTCCGTGGAGCTGGCGGCGTAGGCCAGCCCGGCGCCCTGCAGCCCTCTGTGCGGGGTGTTCCCCGGGGGCGCCGAGGGCTCCCTACCTGAAGTCCTTGGCACCTGGAACAGCGGTGAAGAGGGATACTCCTGATGCCCGAGCACGTGTGTCTGAAAAACACAGCACAGGGTGCAGTACTTCCCACGGGAGAACCAGAGGGAAACATCAAATTCAAACTGGAGGTGGGCACGACCTGGTGACTTCCTCCTGCTTCCTGCTACCCAGCAAGTCAGGCCTCCGCTAGGAACCCCCTGGACTGCAATGGAGGGTAATAACGCTGAGGAAGTTGGTCAAGGGAGAGCAGAGCAATAAAGAAACCCTTGAACTTGAACTTCACGGGTACCTCATAAATACTTGCTTAACAACAGACAGAAAGCATGATCCGGTCAGCCAAACCTCTGTGTCTGTGTGTGCGGAGGTAAGCGGCCGCTGGACGAACAGGAAGGGGCCCAGAGAGCTGGGAGGGAAGGGAGCCCGGAGGACCCCGTGGAGGTGAGAGGTCAGATGGGGGCACCCGACAGCTGGAAGATAAGCAGCTGCTAGCAGAGTGAGTGACAAACGGAGCAGCTGCCTCTGCCCTGGGACCTGGGGCCGTGGAACAGGAACAAGGTCACACATCGTTTGCCATTTTGTCTGTCTGTCTGTCTGGGGAGTGCTCTGCAGAGGCTTTCTTTAAAAAGCTACTGCACTGACACCTACAACGGTTTTGCTTATATTTGCATAATCTAATTGGACATCTATTTGGCAAGAGTAATTATTATTACACTCTTCAGTGTAATATAATAATTCAGTGACTTTTTTCATTTTTTTCCCCAGCGAGAAATCTCTTTGCGTATATACATGGGTTCTGAACCTGGGGTTTCACCCATGCTAAGAGTAAATGGTTGGCCTGGTAAACACGGTGTCCGGGCCCCAGAACATTTCTACGTCTCACTTTCCCAACGAGGGACAGGAAGCGGGGCACGCCAAGGTGACCCCGGGGTGGGACAGGAATACCCCAAACACCTCATGAGACCAACGTGGCACAGTGAAGGCAGAAAGGGGGAAAACTGTGTTCTACGGCTCATTTCCTTTCATGAAGTAAAAGCATCCAGTCATTAGTTACTTGCTAAAAAGGCATGTACATGCAATGAAAGTTGCGGCATAATGATGAGGATAAAACAAAAGTGTTATTTTGGATTTTCAAATTCATGTATTTATCCCCCATGGATATAAAATTCTAAAAGAAAAAAAAACAGCAAAGGAAGGCAGGTGTAGAAATCACCTGTGCCCGTGTTGGTGCTGTTCTTACAAAGGAGTGATCAGAATGATGAGAAACCTTCAGAACCGACCCTGTGCCTCGCAACACCCCCAACGGCGTGCTTGCGGCGAAGCCACCCACCTGTGGCCCTCACCGTGGATATGATGCTGAGAACCCACCATGAGGCGCGAGCAGTGAGCAGGGGGGTGTGTAAGCACATGAATATTTATACGGCAATCACACCAAAGACCAAGTCCAGACTTCTGTCACCCTCAGGTTCAAATTCACTAGGAGAAAGTCAAAGCCACAGAGACAGAAAGTAGAACGGTGGCTGTCTGGAACTGGGGAGAGAGAGGTGTTTAATGAGGATGGAGTTTCAGTTTCACAAGATGGAAAAAGCTGTGGATATGGGTAGTGGTGATGGACGCGTACCAGTAGGAATGTACTGAGAACCAATGGACTGCACACTTAAAAACTGTTCATATAGCAAACTGTGTGATGTGTGTTTTACCACAATAAAAAGTAATTGGAAGAAAAAAATTTTAAACTGTTTTTTGGGTCTCGGTCCAAATCTTCTGTAATGACTATGCCTTATTTTTTTAAAAGGTTATTGTTTAAAAACCATGACTTCAAGCCTAAAATCTGCCTCAAGGAAAACTATTTTCAAAAGTTCAACGCCAGTACTCTCCCACCCTAGGTCAGAGGAAATCTACCATCTAAACACTGCAAGCAAAAATACACTCAAGGGGGAAAAAACTGAGGGAGCTTAAAACTTTAATTCATGGAGCCTTTAAAAAGGGGTCCCCAAAAGCAGAAGCAGCTGAATGAAGTGACTCTGTCTGAACTCTCCATGGTGACCCCAACACCAGATACTCACGGCCTCTCTTCGGCCCGCCTCATCCTCCCCGTACGGAGGCCAGCCTGGCCCCCCGTACTGGCCGCCTCTGCTGGGTGGCATTTCCACGGGCTGAGCTCCGATTCTGCTCGCAATGCCCACCTGCGTCAGGTGCTGGATCTGGGAGCCTGAAGGAGGAAAAGAGGACAACCTGGTCAACACAGGCCGGAAAATGAAGCTGCCCAGTAAGGCCCTATGGCTGTGACCACCACACCCCCCTTAGGGACAGAGATGCCAGATTCTTCTTGGTTCACAGGCTTTTACTTCCTGTTAATACAGTGGCTGATATCAATGGTCTTATTTCCCTGGTGAGACACCAAAGGACTGGAGGTGGCCAGTACAGGGGGCCAGTATAAATAGATGGCCCTTCCATTCATTTCTGCAGAGGTTGCCAATAAGGACACTCTTATTCATTACGAAGGATGGAAAGGTTTTGGAGCCATAAAGAAGCTAAAACCTGGCTCCTTCTTGCTTGTGGCTTCAAGACTCACAAGGAGCCCCAAACACAATCTGCTCTTTTGTTTTTAAAGGCAGTGTGCATATTTATTTGAATTCAGAATGTTCAAGTATATTTGCATTACATTCACGGTGTTTCCGTCACTTGGCCATATCACAATCAAAACCTTCAAGCCGCCCACCCAACCTCAAGGGTGAGGCGTACTGATAACAAAGCCAGAAAGTTCTCCAAGCTCCTTCCCCTACGTTCGCACATGCCGAAGCCTCGTGCAGCCGGGAAGACCGGGCTTCAGCCAACATATTTTTCTCCCCATCAACTTTTTTTTTTCCCATCAACTTTTGGCATGCGGCAACATCCCTGTTCTGCAGGCTAAGGGAGACACAAAAAAGTGATCTTTAAGCACCGTGAAATGAAAGTATTATTACCAAATGCCCCTAGGATCACCCAATTCATCTGGGATGCTCAGACTGGCCCTACAATGGTTCTGGGATCTCACAGGGGTAAGGGGGTGCAGCCCTCCCCAGCTTCAAGTCTCCTCCTCCTCCAGCTGTCTAATGAACAGCCTCCCTTAATCAAATACTTTTTTTTTAAAAGAGAACTCTTCCATGGTTTCATCTGGATATACAGCAAAAACTAAAAACTAGAGGTCAGTAAAAAACCCTTCCGGGTTCTTGTCAACACAGTGCAGTCCGCAGGCCACCCTGTCAGTCAGTGAAGATTCATAACAGTATTAGAGCAATCAGGGCTATGGGTTCTGTTTGCCCAACAGATACGGTTTAAGAGAATCTTGCAAAGAACATAAATTCAGCACAGTGTTCGCCACCATTTACAGATTCAGGCAACAGCACAGGGAGAAAATAACACCTTCGCATTAACACCAGGATGGTAGTTGAGATCATACTTCAGACACATTTTGTATCTTGCTCTGTTCGCTTAACGACACAACACACAGGCCTCCCCCATGACCCCACGTGGGGCATCAGGCCAACAAGCCAGGTTTGCATTCCAGCCCCACCACGGACCAGCCCCGTGACCTTGGGCATGGCTATCACTCCCGCTGAGCCTCAATGCCTCACTTCTCAAGTGGGATCAAAAATAAATCTACCTCCTGGTGTTATTTCAAGGATTAAAAGAGATAAAGTAGGTCAAGCAGCAAACACAAAGCAGGCAACCGGGAAAACTCAAATTCCCTTCTGCTGGCTCTTTCTGGGCTCTTCATTTTGGGTAGCTACACAATTTCCTCACAGAGGCCCTTCTCGCTGGGGATTCAGGGGGCTCACAATTGTTGCTGGATGATGCTCTGATAAACTTCTTTGCACATGTATGTAGTTTTTCTCCAATACGGTGCATTTCTCTGGCGGGTGGCAGCCTAGATTTCCAGAAGGGGAACTACCAAATCAAAAGGTCCTTATGTCCGTGCCAAGCTGCTCCAAAAGTCTAATGATTTACACGAACACCAGAAATAATATAATAGTAATAATAATGGCAGCTCATACTCTTTAAAAGTTTCTCATGTGCCAGGCACTACCTGAAGCACTTGATGTCTGTTCTCTTCTTTAATCATCAAAACAACCGTAGGGAGTAAGTACTAATATTATCTCCACTGTACAGGTAACGAAACCAGACGCTAGATTCAGCACGCCATTTCATTGATTATTACAAAAAGCATCCCATGATCAAAATGGGGCCTCGTCACAGTTTTAATGTCTATGTCAAATTGAATCATTTTCAAAACTGAGTGTTTTTCATTATGTGTACTTTCATATGGTACACACACATTTTTTTGTGCGTTTTCTTCTTGTATTTTGACCATTTATCTTTCTTGTTCTTTGAGGTCTGCCCATTTATCAATTTACATGAGCCATCCTCTGTAATAAAAATACCTCTAGGTCATACCTGCTACACATCTTCCCTCGGTGTCATTTTCCTCTTGTTTTTGGTAATTTTTTAGATCTACACGCGTTTGATCATTTCACATAGTCAGAAAGGGAACTCTTCTAATATATCTTAATGTTTTTCCATTACAGGTTTTTACACGATTTAATCCATCACTAGAAAGTATTAGAAAATCACTTCCTCATTAAATGTTTCATACGTATAACGTCTGTATTCTCGTAGGTTAAAAATGAATAGGTCTGAATTTTGTTTGGAGTATGTGCTAGGCAACATTAACAGAAGAAATAAGACCCACTGCAAAGCATAGCACCTTCAAGGTATGGAGAAGCCTGCAGGGCATCAGGCTATGCTATTTGTTCAGTAGACAGACAATGCAAAATCCAAGAACTGCCTAGGAGACCATGGATAATTACCCACCAATTATTGCAAATTTGGAACTGGCCTAATCTAGTTTCTTGATGGTATCATATATAGGTGCATATTCTCCAGAAAGTCAGAAAATAGCAAGATACATCATTTGACATGTAATGGCCCCTCTTCTGAAAGCTTCAGTCTTCAAAAAGGAGGGTGAAATAATTAATGGAGGAAATAAGAGTGACTTTGGGCCCTTGTAATAAAACATGGTTAGATCAGCGATAACTCTAAGGGTTTTTCAGAGCCTAAAAAGCTCTACAAGAAACAGCGAGAGCTCAGCATCTTCAACTACACCGATGCTTTAGAACACTGAACAACACTCCCAAATGCAGCTTTCGTGGTATCAACAATTCGTGAGATGACGTTCTGTGACACATAAAACAGTAATCTGTGATTTGGGGGTAGGAGATAGGGTCTCAAGTAAACAGGTGAGGAAGACTAGCCAACTGCCATGCAGGAATCAGCTCAGGATGCTGGGTACTGCTTGGCAACCAGCAGCAGCGTCTCCCACTGTGGGTCTGCAGGGGATCCTGTAGCTGGTCCACTTGTCCTTCTGTTGGACTGATTAGGGAAATCAAAGGTAAGGCATAGCAGCATTTGAAATTGGCGATTTATAAGATCTCAGGATAAATCCCTCAAACATCAAGCATCTACTGAACCTGACGAGAATGTGTTCTGGGTTCAAATATTAATGCAAAGCTCCCAGGAGACTTTAAGGACAAATGTATCTTTTTTTCTTTTCTTCTCAACTAATTTTCTGAAAATATGTTTACTTCTTATTTAGATGTCATTATTGAGGACATTCAGTTCACAAAACATTATTTCTCTTTCCCTTTACCAAAATTCTGAGGCTCCTCATTAACTTAAATTGTGACATGCATCTCAAAAATACAGGGGGTTTGAGCTCTTTTTCTAAAAAATGGGAAATGAATACATGAAAAGAGATTTAATCCCTAAATTTTAATTGTGGTCTAAAAAAAACATCCTGTGAACCAAAGAGTCACTGGTTCAATTCCCAGTCAGGGCATATGCCTAGGATGCAGGCCAGGTCCCCAACAAGGGGCACATGAGAGACAACTGCACATTGATGTTTCTCTCCCTCTCTTTCTCCCTCCCTTCCCCTCTCTCTAAAAATAAATGAATAAAATCTTTGTTAAAAATCCTGTATCTTTACATTAAATATACTAAATATTGCACTTTTGTTAGTAAACCAAATTATGCATGTTTCTCAAATCAACTAATTCTAATTTTTAGAATTTTAAAATATATATACATATACATATGTGTGTGTGTGTGTATATATATATATATATATATATATATATATATATATATATATATATATTTAGAGAGAGGGGAAGAGAAACATCAATGTGAGAGAGAAACATTGATCGGTTGCCTCTCATACACTCCCCAAACAGGACTGAATCCACAACCTTGGCATGTGCCCCAACAGGAATTGTACCGATGACCCTTCGCTCTGTGGGATGACACCCAACCAACTGAGCCACGCCAGTTGGGCTACGATTAGAATTTCCTGAAACAAAAAATTTAACACAACTGATTTTTCTCTCTGGCTTCAAAATTTGCAGAAATTAGACACTTTGAACTGTGTTCTTTTAAAAACATACAGTGAGAGTTTGTATTCCCTAATCAGAGATATTATGGTGTTGATTTTTATTTGAATTTCAACAGGTAATGAAAGGAAATCTAAACACTATAAGTAAAGAAAAGCTGTGTGCAAATACTTAAAAGTCTGATCAAGAAGGAGAAGACCACTTTGGAGAAAGTGACTTTTCACTGTTGAATTAGTAAGTAAATGGCTGCACTGGTTACCCACAGGTGATACTAAGATCGTTCTTTTAATGAGGGCTGGAAAGAGGGACAGAAAGGAACTAAAACAGTTCCACATGGCCACAGCTTTCCAGGCCTCGTGTGTGGCAGCAGGCAGAAGACAGCAGGACTCAGGCACAGAGGCATGAGAAAAAATGACAAAAAGTTTTTAAAAGGGAAGATGATCATATTAACAAAGGTAGAAGGGGAAAAATGAGGGAAATGAGGCCCCAGAAGCAATCAGGGGTTGCACCCGCCCACAAATAAACAAAAATCTACTCCCAGTCACTGTCCAGCATGTTTTAGGGCTGCTTCTTACAAGCTGTAAAAGTGCTCACTTTAAAAGGCCAGAACAAGTGCTCAGAGATAGATCTTTCAGTTTAACTCTAAGAATTTAGAACTGCTTTCCCTGGAAGAAGTGTGCTATGAATTCCAGGCCAAGGGACGCTGTTGAGATGCTGATTCAGGAAAGAATCAGTGGACATCAGCCCTGGGGTCTCAACCTCTCCCTGGCTTCCCACCGCCCCTGTCTTGCATCTCACCAGGATCTCAGGGAAAGCGGCTCCTCCCAATGGAGGAGGCTGAGAATGAAACCTGGGATGCTGATGCCCTGGCTAGTCTAGAGTGCACTTGGCCAGCATTTAGCCAAAAAGCAGGCGCCCTCCAGTTCAGAAATGCAAGCTAAATACCGCACGTACCTGTGGTACCCCCGACAGGCCGAGGCCGGGCCACCGATGGCATATCCTCGGAGTAGATCCCTCGGGCAGCAAACGGGGCTTCAGCAGATGCCTGAGGCTGCTGGGGCTCGGAAGGCACCAGCTCTGAAGACTGCAGCAAACCGGGGCTAAAACCGGGTCTGAAGGCAAAGCACACTAAGCATCAGGACCACCCGGAACCTGGCTCTTGTATTTGATTAGATGCACCCTCAGCCCCCTGGAAAAATAAGACCTATCAGTCTACTGACGCATCGTCCATTTTCTACCTGCCCACTGCCAAGTCTCCTGGCCTCAGGCCAGTATTAGCTGATGCCTGAAAAATCTCTAAGGATGACTGAAGGAGAAATGCTATCATTTACAGGTCAGAAGAAGGTGCGGTCAAGTTCTAGGGCTGGCTCACCTCCCGTATCTGACTGAAGTGGCAGTTATCTAGATGGACAGACGTTAGCATCGCCTAGGGGGGCTTTTAAAAGCCCCGGTGCTCAAGCTGTACCCCAGACCAGTTCAAACAGGATCTTCAGAGGTGGGACCCAGACACGGTGATTTTTAAAGCACCACTGACGACCCTGAAGTTCATTGAGGCTGAAAACCAGTGCTAGAAAGCAGCGGTTCTTCAACTTTTGGGCATCAGAATTTCTTCCCATTCACACAAAGCACTGAGAATTCTCAAGCATTTTTATTTATGTGGGTTATATCTATAGATGTTTATTGTATTTGAAATTAAAACTGAGAAACTAATACTATTTTAAAAATACATTTAAAATAACAATATTAAATGTATTTCAGATAAATATTCTTCTTCAATATCATGCCAAAACTCCCCAAAGTTTTTTTAAGGGCTAGTGACAATGTGGAATATGAAACAATACAAACAAAACTTTTCATAATCTGTCAGATTAAAACCCGCTGGTCTATCTTGCTCCTTGAATGGACCCACACATGATTCTATGGCATGGTCATTTGGAAAATATTAGTTCACTGTGTTCTATAGACTTTCTAGATATTGATACATTTCCTTTTATGGTATTAAAAAATCACACTCATTAATATCACCACCGAGCTCATCAGTGGCGTCTTGAAGTACTAGGACACTGTCAAGTTCAGGGTGGTGGACAAAAGTTTCCAACACTCTGATTTTTCACTTGACAGCTCAAATTTATCACTGGCAACAGACACTGCCAGCTGTTTTTCTTGAAGTGACAGGCCCACCTCGGTCATTTCTGGGACAGGGTCTGCCAAACACCCACATCTGAACAACGATGCCTGCCACTTGCTAGGTCAGGCAAAAACGTGGCAGTTAGTTCGGTTCTCAACTCGCACACCGGGACACAACTTTTCCTTCAAAACTCCATATTCAGCAAAGTGCTTTGTATGTATTTTCTTTGTTGTCACACAGACTATCAAAGAGTCAAGGGTTTAGGTTTAATAAAATTAATCCCTTTTACTATACCATCAAGGACATGCTAACATCAAACTGGTTTTTTTTTTTTTGAAATGGTGACTGTGCAATGGTGAGAACACAATAACTTGAACGACTTGGTGCTGCTGTCTTGATTGACACTAAGGCACCAGCCTCTGCACTCGGCATGGCGTTTGCACCTCAATGCAAATGTCAACACAATGAAAAACATCAAATACCATCTTAGTATTATTAAGAAAATAGTTTTGACCTCGTGGGCCCCCTGAAAGGGTTGCAAAATTGGCCAGGGCTCTCAGAATCCCACTTGAGAACCACTCTTCCAAAGAAATTCAAGAATTAAAACAAGGTGATAGTCTAAGGGCAGTTCTTTGCAAATAACAGTCAACCAGAACTCGACAGTTCCAGCCGGTTCGGTGAGACAGTGGCTGACTCGCTGCTACTGCTGTGTTATTTCTGGAGAGCACCTCAGCAGCTGAAACCCAGGCAGGCCCTCTGCACTCCTCTCTTTGATTAACTGCTGCCGTTTCAGATGGACCTCAGAGAAATATGTCTGGCATCTCTGACCTGACAGACATGAAGCTTAGTACAAGGTAAGTCTGCACCCTGGGGCTCACCTGACCTCACTACACTCTCTGAACCGTCCGCCCATGAACGAGCTCTCACCCTCTACTTCATGACTTCCACTTGACCCCAGTCGGTGAGCCCCCTCCTGCATAGCTATGTCTGCAGCCCTTTCTACCCTGAAGTGTGTGCTCAGGTCACTCAGAATGATCCAAATACCCTGGACTCCTTTAACCTGGGTGACCAGAAAGTTGACCAGCCAAACCAGAACACTCTGGAGAGAGGAAGTTATTAATGATTACGCTGGACAACAGGTCTAAACTGGAACTGAACTGGGTGAACCAGATCACACGGTCCCGTCATTCACTCTCCCCCGGAGAGTGGATGACATTCACTGAGCCCCACGTGGTCCCTCTGCCTGTGTTGTTTTGGGACCACAAAGCAGCACCTGGGCGGGGGAGTGCAGTTGCTGAGAAATAAAATGAGCCCCTCCGAAAATGAGGGGGCGCACAGAAAACTAACAGAAAAAAGAAAGAGGAAGCATATTATATGAAACGTTAAAGGGACTTATCTAAGAGAAAGAAGATAAAAAATATGAACAGTGAAAGGACAGCAAACTCACAGTTACTAACAACCACATCTAAAACAAAAGCAAACTAAGAGGACAGCTAGATCAGGAGCAGAGCCATAGAAATGAACACATGGAGGGTTAGCAACAGGGGAGTGGGAGGAGGAGAAGGGGGGAGAAAGTACAGAAAATAAGTAGCATAGACGGTAGATAGAAAATAGATAGGGGGAGGGCAAGAATAGTATGGGAAATATAGAATCTAAAGAACTTGAGACACATGGTCATAAACTAAAGGGGGGGAATGGTAGGGGTGAGGGGGTACAGGGTAGAGGGGAATGAAGGGGGGAAAAGAACAACTATAATGTCATAATCAATAAAATAAAAATTTAAAAAAAAAAGAAAGAGGAAGCAGAGCATTCCTACTTCTGGGTAGCTCCTGGTCACTGAAGGACAGTTGAGTCTAATTTCTGAGATTGTTTTTCTGCAATTCCTTCTTCTTAATAAATTGACTGTCCACCCGTGTGGAGGTCTGTCTACGGACTTTGTAGTCATCCTGCTGGTCTAGCTTTACAGCAACACCACACTGTCTTAATTACTTGACAGTAATTTCTAATATTTAGAATAGTCCTAACATCCTACTCTTCTTTCTTAGAGGTCTTGAATATTCTTGGTCCTCTGCATTTCCATATAAATTTTAGAATCAGCTTGTCAGTTTCCATGAATTAAAAAAGCAACAACTACTGAGATTCTGAATGGGATTACAATGAAACTATCAATCACTTGAGGAGAACTGACATTTTAAAAATATTGGGTGTCTTCCCTGGCTGGTGTAGCTCAAAGGATTGAGTGCAGGCCCAGGAACCAAAGGGTCACGGTTCGATTCCCAGTCAGGGCACATGCCTGGGTTGCAGGCCAGTTCCCAGCAAAAGACACACGAGAAGCAACCGCACATTGATATTTCTCTCCCTCTCTCCTTCCCTTCCCCTCTAAAGATAAATAAAATCTTTAAAAAATATAATAAAAATATTGGGTGTCCAATTCATGAACATCTTTATTTAGAGACCTAGAATAACTGGTTCTATTTATTCTCAGATATGTTATATTTTTAATGGCATTTTATATAGTAACTTTAAATTTTGTTGTTTTCTGCCTATTGCTCATAAACATGAATAAAACAGATTTTTATAAACTGATCTTATATCCAGCCACCCCATAATTCACCTCGCTTGCTATTTAGCCATTTTGCTAAATTTCTTCGATTCTAACAATTTATATATTGACGTTTTGGGATTCTCTACTACAGAGTTATAGCGCCTGTGAATAGTACTGTATTATTGCTCTCCTTGAATCCCTTCGTCTTTCTTTTTCTTGCCTTATTACACCAGACAGGCTCCCCAGGGCAGTTAATAAAAGTAACACAACAGGCATCTTTGTCTTGCTCCTGGTCTCAGAGGAAGAAGTTTTTACATTTCACCGACAACTTTTATTAGTTTGTATTTAGCTTTTGTTTGCCAAGATTGTTACCATAAATAGATGTTAAGTTTTATCAAATGCTGCATCTATTGAAATGAAAAAAATTTCTGCCTTTATTCTACTCAAAGTAGTGGATTACATGGATTGATTTTTTTTTTTAATACTAACTCACCCTTGTACTGCTGGAATAAACCCACTTTGGTTGTGATACGGTATCTTTTTGTACATGTTGCTGGATGTGTTTGCTAATGTTTCGTTTTGAGTTCATTGCATCTGTGTTCATGAGTAAAACTGGCCCTTAACCTTTCCTTTCTTGCAATGTCCTTGCCCTTGTGTTGTCCTTGGTATCAAGGTTACGCCGGTCTCGTTTTCTATTGTTCAGAAGACTCTGTGTGGCGACTCAGGCATCTTTTCTTCCCTTAGTGTTTGGTAGGATTCACTGTCGAAGCCGCTTGGGCCCAGAGTTTTCTTTGTGAGAAGAATTTTAATTGTGATGTTTAGCTCCTTTAATAGTTGTCTGATTATTCAGGTTTTCCCTTCCGAGGAATTTTTCCATTTCAAATTTGTTAATAAAAATATGTTCCGAGAATCTTTTGAAAATCTGTTAAGGTCATTTTCATTTCTGTAATACCTGGGCTAACAGGTCCTTTTTAATTTCTCATACTGATAATGTCAAAGATTTGATCAAGTTCTCCAAGGGGTTAGCAATTTTATTAGCTTTTTCAAAAAACTTTCAGTTTCTTTCATCTTCTCTATTACGGCCCTGATTTTCCACTTCACTGATTTCCATTCTTAGTTTTATTATTCCTTCCTTCTCCTTCCTTTAGTTCTAACTGGATCTTTCTTTAACATCTTGAAATGGAGGCTTAAATGATTAATTTTCAGCTTTTTTTTCTTTTCAAATATATGCACTCAAGATATCAACTTCCTCCTAAATATGACTTTCACTGCATCCCACTTTTGATATGTTGTATTTTCATTAATTATTCATTTCAAGGTACATTTTAATTTCCAATGTGATTTCTTCAGCATACCATAGTTACTTAGAAAGGGTACTAAGTAATATGCAAACATATAGGGACTTTCTAGTTATCTTCTATTATTGATTTCTAACTGAATTTTACTGTACTAGGCAAATACACTCTGAGTAATTTCAATTATTGAAATTTGTTAAGATTTGCTCTGGCCCAGCCAGTGGTAAAATTTTTTAAATGCCGTGCTTTAAAAGTACGTATATTCTGTGGTTATTCACTTGTGTTCTATACATGTCAAGTAGGTCAAGTTCATTAATCATGTTGGTGGCATTTCCTATCCTTTCTGCCTTCTCCTGTCTCTTGTAAGCCAAGTGTTGGTTTTCAAATCCAGTCTTGACACCTATGCCAGGCTGTTTGTGTCTGTCTGTGTGTTCGACCTCATGCAAAACACTAAGGGTGATGGGAGGCCTAATATGGTATCATCTTCCTGTGAAGCAGAATCATGTTTGTTTCAGCCAGGCAGCTGGAAGGATGCACAATGTCTGGTCCCCTCAACCAATCAGGGCCTGAAATCATGCAAAGCTGAGGTTTAGTTCTTGTAGGGACGCATCTATTTCCATTAACCCTGACTCTGAGGAATAACCCCTAAGGGTATGAACCCAAACCTTCGGGGTTTACAGGGACCTGCCCTCCACCTAGTCCTCCCGGCCCCGTGAGTCTCTGAAAGCTTTGCTCAGCTTCTCCACCACCTCCCCCAACGTTGGCAGGTGGCCCTGGGAGACAGCGGCCCCAAAGGCAGGGCCGCCTTTCTGGATTTGCTAGATCTTGGCCCCATACCGCTTCCCTGTCCTGTTAGCTCTCTGGGCTTTGTATTTTTATTTTAAAAACTTGTCTAACCTTCCTAGTTGTCCTCTGCAAATTACCTAGTCTGGTATCGCTCGCTGTTTGTAGAACTTCAATTCTAACTCTTTTCTCCTCTTCTGGTTAGATCAAGAAAATGCAACTCGAGAGCTTTGCATCTGCTCACATTAGCTACAAAAATGGTTAGAGAATTGAATTTTTTAAAAAACAGCCTACACGAGGAAGTCCTAATACATTTTCTCCTGAAAAGTTTACCTTGGCAATGGGCCTGCTGGGGGCGTCATCCCATAGTCTTCGTATCTCTGGAAGAAATCCAAAGGAAGATGAAGATTAACAGTCAATGCTTATTGGAAGGCGACAACAGCAAACTTACAAATTTAGGTTTACGGGATCAACTTTCAGGAGAATTATTTTCTCATAAAAAGTTAGCATGCTTTGGGGGCACTCTGCCATCAAGCCATGCCAAGGAGTTTATTTGGAGAACTGGGTTCCCAGACTTCAAAAAACACACAACTAATTTCTAGCCCCTTCTCTCTTTAGTAAACATATAAATAATAGGATTTCTGTGCCTGCTCTTCCTTACAGGCTCATTCTCAATAAATCTGCATCTTCTGCTAGAATGGCAGACGAGAGTGGCCCACTTTTATGACCAATGACTATCAACCTCAGTCATAAGAGTCCCCTGATTTTACAGGTGCCCAGTAGCAATTCCAATACACTGAAGAAACTCAACTATGCAAATGCTGAAGCATGTTATCAAACAAGAAAGAATATAAAGAACCAGAAATCAGGCTCTCAAACATGAAGTGAGCACTTTCAGATTCTGGCCGTCTTCTGGTTTCCAGGAGGCCAAGCCCTGCTCCTTGCTCTGAGATTCTGTAAGATGCCTCCATATCCTTATTCAGCTCTCTTCCTGGAGCTAATGTGAGCTAACCAAGTGCTCTTTGACTAAAACCATATAGCCTCGGCTTTAAAGAAACATGAGTACATCTACCTATACCTGTGTTGCGTTCCTCAAGAGACCAGCATACCCTACCCCTAACCCACACAAGACTCCTATCTCAACATTTCAATGACTGTGAATCATTATTTTGGAATCCAGTCATTTAGCAGAACAGCGACTCTGGACAGAGCCCCTCCAGTTCCGGTCAGTTTGAACCCATTGCTTGTCCAGGATCAAGCTCTGAGTTCAGTTACTAACTCAGCCTTGTTTCCGGACCTGCTCTAATATTAGACCTTTTTTTCTTTTTTTCAAGCTGCCATTCACTGAATTGGTATTTGGTAGTAGGCGCGACGTGGGCACGAGCTCAGGCCCACCAGAACACCAGAGCGGCTCACTGCCGCTGTTTGCAGATGATACTGACTCACAAAGAAGTTAAGCGATGTCCTCCAAACTTGTCTGACTCCAAAGAGCATATTTCTAACCACCAACCGTACCACACTGCCCATGGTTCCCAACACTGAACTTTTGTCCTTAGTTCCATTTCTATCGTCTTGAAAACGTAGATGCTCTGGAGTCAGACGGGCTGGCCAAGCCGCTCAACCTCCCTGGGCCTGTTTCCTTAGCCCACAGACAGAACGAGCTCCACGCCTCGCACAGCTCCAAAGGCATTATTACACAGGAAGCTGTGGTCGCCTCCCTCACCTTCTGACCCTCCCTGTTCCCATCCCCTTGGCAGACAGAGAGATCATACCACTGTAGAATCCCCCCAACAGAGAGAAAACAGGCCAAGGGGGGTGTGGAAGGAGGGAGGAACACAAGGAAAAGAAGCTTCAATCGTCTTTCTAAACAATTAAAGGGAAATCTGAGAGAGAGTGGGAAGAGATTATTCAGCATAGTTTGGATTTTTAAAACCTATTCACATGCAAAGCAAAACAAAAGAGATCAAGGCTTAGCAGATTACCTATCAGGATTTCAAGAGGTCTAATACGAGATAAACTAAAAGGAAACCGGTGAAGAACAGCTGCCCATTCTGTGTTTTATTACTGCAGTGCTGGGCATCTCCACTCTACTGTAGTCAGAAAAGGTTATTTTTCTAGATACTGCGTGCCCCGATGAAAAGGTTTTTGTAAAAAAACAAATGCCATAGACATAATGGTGGGCATTTACTTCAAATGGGTCCCACCTGTGTAAAAATTTGAGGGACAAAATAGAATTTGAAGGTTTTGATCAGCTAGGTCAACACAAGTCACGTTTTAACACGTCCCTTCTTTTGAAGAACCGTCCACCAGAGCAAGAGAGGTAAGCCAAATGGTTAATGGGTCTGGCATGCGCCTGCCTATAAATGTCTTAGCTCGGGTGCCCACCCCTGCCACTGAATGGACTAGTCCAGGGCGGTTAACTCCACTCAGAGAAGCAGAAACACTACCTAACCAGCAATCTGACTCGCCAGTGCATAACCAACACCCTTAGGGCGGCAGAAAGGAGCAAAAATGTCACCAGGTGGTAAGTCAGGCTCACGGGGTAACTGAAGGCACCCTGAAACCCACACTCCTATAGTTTTGCTTGTGGTCAGAAGAAGTAAACAAAGGGTGACCGAGCTCCTCCCGGCAACAAACAGCACCTTCATGACCAATTCGTAAACATACTGAAATGATACTGGATACGCACAGATGCGACCAATGATTCTCATTTTCTGCTGCACCAAACTGCTATCATTCCCATCAAAATACACAGGGGTAACATCCACGATGAGAAAGCCATTTAATAAGCACATTTATAAAAATCGTGCTCCGGGTTTAAATTCTTAGTTGAGGTGGTACTTTAAGGCATGATGGCAGAACCGTTCACCTCCAACACCTATGAGCAAATCTATGGGATACTGCTGCTAAGATTCATCAGCAGAAACCACACAGGTAAACGGAGCAGGATCATGTCAAAAGCTGCGAAAAGTGGTGCCCAAGGGGGAAAAAGAATGAAAGATTCTGGCAGCCGAATGTGGCTCCTAATTCTGCATATTCCAGCCCCGGAATATGCAGAATTACCTTCCCGTTTGGAAAGCTGGTGCCTGAGGGGTTCAGAGGCAGTACTGGGAAGGAAAGGAGGGAGGAATTAAGGAAAAGCTCAGATATTAGGAATCCCTAAAGGACAACAGGATGTCAGGAGAAGCAGGAAGGACCACCAAGTCTTGCCCCACCTTTCAAGTCATGCGTCTGATGATGAAGGAACAGACGCTCACAGGGGTGCACCCCAGCTGGGTGCATGAGTGCAGGGTAGGACAGTGCTGGCGTGACAAGACCACCAAGGAGCCAGCAGGGCACCGAGTCCCAAGGAGGGCCGGACCCGCCCCCCCAGGCCTGCCCCTCCCCCTCCTCCATGACATCCGGCTTCAGGAACATGGACGGAAAGCAATCCTCACTCAGACAACGGGTCCCAAATAAAGTAAGAAAAATACAAAGGTGAATTTGTCACATCCTTGCAAATGACAGTGAAGTCGGAAAAAATCAGCCTGTCTCAACTGCAAAGAGAACAGCAGTACAGCTCTGTGAACACACTACTACAGCCACCAAGTAAGTGAACAAACCGACAAACGCAAGTTTCAAAAATGAACATACACAAAAAGACAACCCGGCCTGGGAGGAAATGCAAGCAACAGTCAGATTCTCTACAAGCACTATAAAAATAGCAACTCTGTTTTTTTTTTTTAAGTTCAACAATGAAATGATAAAACAAGAAAATGACCTGAAATGGGAGCCCATAGACGGTGGAAATCATTTGAGGACCAAAATCATGCCACTGTGACTCTAAGGAATCAACTAGCAGGGAAAAGTATAGACGAGGCTTAAAATCAAATGAATGTCACAGAGGAAAGGCCTATGAGGATTATAATGAAGGCAGAGAGGCAGGAAAAAAAAAGGACAAAGTTGCTAAAGCAATTAAGAGATAAAATGGTAGATAGAGAAGACCGACAAAGATGCAGGAACAAAGACGCTACCCTTGATTCCAATAAACGGAACAGAGTAAGAAAATTACTTCGGAACTAAAAATAAAGTTTTCCTGAATTAAATGAAAGAGCTGACTCTGAAGGTAAACTGAATACTGGTTATTGGGGGGGGGGGATGAAAACTTATTAAGTGACAAGAACTATTCAGGTTTCCTAGCAGATCGGGCACGTACAGCCCCTCTAAGAAACGAGGGACGTAAAGATGGCCACAGATTTCTTCACAGAAAATGCGAGGAGCACTGGGAGCAGAGAGAGGTGACGTGTAGAGACCAGCAGCAAACGAGTTCAAGTCAGAAAGTGAGAACTCGAAACACTACTTCAAAAGAATCCACGCACCCCTCCCTGTGTTCATTGTAGCATTACTTCCGAGAGCCAAGACATGGAAGCAGCCCACGTGCCCATCAGCAGAGGAGTGGGTAAAAAAGCCGTGAAGCACACATGCAGAGTGGAATATCACTTGGCCATAAACACAGAATGAAATATTACCGTTTCCCACAGCGTGCATGGACCCAGAAGGTATCACGTTCAGTGACATAAGCCAGTCAGAGAAAGACACATACCATATGATCTCACTTACATGTGGGATCTGATGAACAAGATAAACGAACAAATGAAATAGAAACAGATTCACAGATACAGAGAAAAGACTGATGGCGGACAGAGGGGAGGGGGGCTGGGGGACTAGGAGCAAAAGGTGAAGGGACTGAGAAGTGCAGATGGGTAGTTCCAGAACAGTCTGGGGGAGGCAGGGCACAGGGACTACAACCAGTAATATTATAGTAACTACGGGTGGTACCAGGTAGGCACGGAAAATACTGGAGGGAACACTTTGTAAAGTATGTGACTGTCTAACCACTACGCTGCACACCTGTGGACTCATCTTGTGTTGGCCTCTCAGTGTGTGGGCCTGGTCAACACCAACAAACAGCACCTTACTAGTCAGCCACCACTCCGACATCCTGGATTCAAGACCAGAGGCAGGGAGACAACAGGAAGTTTTCCCCATGACCCTGGTGTGAGACCGCAACAGCTCCCACTGGTGTGTGACACAATGAAAGGACTTGGAGGGGAAGGATCTACAAAGCTCCAGACTAGAGAATGCCAGAAGGCCCATACTTACGCCACACGGGTTGTTGGCCGTCTGAGCTGGGCTGTAGAAGGACCCCCACTGGGTGGCTCTTCTCTCTTCCCGGGAAGGGGTGCTGTTCGCAGGCAGGCCGGCTGGAACCCCGGAGCCCGCGGCTGCGGCACTGGTGGGCTGGCTGCTGGGGGCCACCAGGGCAAAGGCGTCGTCCAGGAGGGAGTGCATGGTCTGGCGGGCCTCCTCGATGGACGGCTGGGGCGGGACGTACTGGGGGGCCGGGAAGGGCAGGCCTGGATAGCGGCCCAGCTCAGCAGAAGACGGCGTCTGTGCGTCTGCTGGAAGGTCAGGGTCGGACTACAGGGGGGACACAGCAAAGGAAGGGAGGATCAGACACAAGTGTCATGGCGACCCGAAAACAAAGCTCTCCCTAGGGCCAGCGTGGAATTGCGCAATTTCCACCAACACAGAGGGAAAGATTTCCCGTAAGAATTTTTAAGGTGACAGCAGAGGAAAGCATGTTAGCTCTCAATGGTGCAAAAAAAAGTCTGAATCAGGAATAAAAGTAAAAAAGAAAAACAGTCAACAGTCCTTTGTCTGGCAAAACTCATGCAACTACGTGGAATGCATTTCAGTACCTGGAAGCACACGTTTTTACTGAAAGTCCCCAAGTAACGCAAACCGATGTCTCAAGAGTCTACTCACTACAATACCTGGTCAACCTTCCACAGGTACAGAAACCAAAACCCAAAGCAGCCTGCTGACTACTAACAGTTGGGGGAAAAAAAAAGCCCTACACACCCCCAAGAGAGGTCAAAGTCACCACCCCATTTCAACTGTGTGTGCAAATAACGTTAATACCTATTATGGCACCAGTTCACAACAATAAATAGTAGTTATCTATTCAGAAACTGTCTTCACATGGAGGCATCTCTGGATCACATGACTCAGCAAGAAAGGTTTAAATGACCTTCCGTACCCACTGTCTAAGAGACAAGGGTGTAAGTGACAGTTAGGGTTTTTTCTTTTAATCTTCTGATGCTTTCTTATGAGCAAAAGGCTGTCAACACACACAGTCGGATAAACTGTCAGAGACAAAGCAGGAGACCAATGCAGAAAGAGGCCTTTCAGGTCTCGGCAGCTCCAGACGCTCAAGTGCCCCGGTCACACCATGGACAAGGAAGAAAGAAGAGGTTCTGCAGGACAGGCTGGGGCCCCAGACCCCCTGCGAGAGAAGGAGGACGTCTTTTGTCCACAAGGCTGTGCTCGCCCTGCTGGTCCACAGTTGAGCTCAGCTGGCTGGTCACGCCGGCGACAAGCCCAAGGGAGACATTCCGGCATCTGTTTGGATCACTGAGTCTCTCACCAAGAAAAACACATTCCACGGGCACATCCTTACTCTCGGCCAATGGTCTGGAAAACGCTTCGTAATGACTACGGCCTGCCGGACAGATGAGCAGGTATTCCCCACGCCAGCGCCGGACGCTTCGGGGCAGCAGCTGCTTCACTCCCAACAGGGAGAAAGCCGTTCTACAACCTGGTAAACCCACAAACAGCCCACAGACCGGTTTTTCTTGGCCCACACAGAGTTTTTAAAAACATACTTAGCCACTAATTGCAAAAATCTGAAAATGCTGTAGTAAAACTCAGATTTCTGGACTCTTCTGGCAGAATCTGAGGCTTCGACTGCCCACCTGACCTGGGGCAGGTGCTTCCCCTCCCCCGTCCTGTACATCTGTTTTGCCACGACAGCGACATACCAGTAAAGGTCCTACTAAGTGACATGTGTCATCTAGGAAATCCAAGTAAGGATTCTGGGCCCCAAAGGGAATCCCCGGTTTATGACACAGCACTGAATAAACTCTGGGTTCCTTTTCTTTAGAGGCGGACAGAAGGTCTACAGACGAGCCCTTCCCCCATTATTGGTTTTCTCGAGGTGCTGCTGGTTCAGAAATGTGTGGTCAGCGCTGTGCCACCAGCCACCAGTTCCTGGTAGAGAAACAGAAAAGCGTGTCTGGGAGCACATCCTGGTGCTAAGTAAGGGGGTCTCTCCCGAGACAGAAGTGATGTTCCTGGTGGTGGTTCCAGCAGCAGACAAGGTAGCCGCATTATAAGGAGGCAGGTTGCATGGCCACGTACACGGCCACAAGCCCAGACTGGGATTCCACTGGGGGCTGAGGGGAATCTTACACTCGCCCTGGGAGAGTCCAGAGCTACAGCCATTGCCGATCTCACCCTTAGGGGCCCTGACTTCAGTGAAGCTTTAACTCTTATTAATAAGCGACATGTGTCCTGAAAGTAGGAAGGAAAGTTCTGTGGGTGCCCACGGGCCCCATGCATCTTGCCAAGAAGGCCCAGAGCCACGCAGCCACGATGTTGGAGCCTCCTGTCCTTTCTCCTCATTGCCTCCTCATTTCACACGCGAGACTGTCCGAACCTACAGCCCAAGACAAGCTGTCCGCACGTCTTACATCTCAGCACCTAGCCCAGTGCTCCCTGGGCAGGGGGTGCTCCGTGAAAAGGGAAAAGCGGCTGCTTCTCAAGATCGCCCCGTTGGAATTTGAATTCCAGTCTCCTGAACCTCAGTCTGATAACTCTGTTATACTGAATCTGTTTCCTTTGCATGAGATGGGTGTCCATCTATCATTCTTCAGAAACGTATATGAGCTTTTTTTTTTAACCTTCCATCACCAGAGACGATATATTCTGGGGCCTATTCTGGGGTCATGTAAGAGAGTGATCACACACCCTGGTTGGCCCAGGACAATCTTGATTTATGTCTGTGGTCCCAGTACAATAATTGTTTCCTTTTACTCTCATAAGAGTCCAACTTGAATGATGAATTGTATCGGGGGTTGACAAACTTGTTCCGGAAAGGGTCAGACAGCAAGTATTTTAGGCTTCCTGAATCATACAGTGTCTGCTGCAACTAACTCAACTTTGCCCTGGTTGCAAGAGCAGCTATAAAGAGCATGCAAATAAGTGGGCGTGGCTGTGTTCTAATAAAGCTTTATTTACAAAAAGCAGCAGCAGGCAGGCCTTGGCCTGATGGCCATCATTTACCTAGGCTTGAGTTATAATAGTAAATTTAGTTATAAGAAACCTGGGAATATGTTTTTTTCACTTCAGGAGAACCGAGTTTTCAAGGAGATGATATTTTGAGGGGGAAAGTGAAAAAAACTAAGATAACTAAAAACCACGTATGTCTAGGTGAGTTCTGAGAAAGGCATCTTTGAAAATGTGTGTTCCAGAATTTTTAGGGAGAGAAAGTCAGTCCACTGAGGAAGACTTTCCTTTTAGTAAATCTTTGGGGGGGAATGGAGCCATTGGAGATGAGGTGGTGAACTCTAGGGAAGGGCTTCCTCCTACCAGCTAAAGAAGAAACCTCTGTGCTTTCTGAAAAAAAGAAAAAAGGCAAGGAGAAAAAGGATGGTCCGGGACACCAGGAAAGAGGCAGAGTCCTGGATGCAGGCAAGAGGGAGAGAACGAGGGGGGCCGGTCATTCCCTGCACGTGCTCCTTGGCACTCACTGGGCAATGGCACTCAGGGTACCAATAAAACAACAGAAAAAAATGGGGCCTGAAAATGCTCCCCTGCAAATTCCTTTGAGAGAATGAGCCCTGCTGGTTTGGGAAGCATAGAAGGGAGGATGCCCCCCCTTCCTGTTTGTTAGTCTCCCAGAGAGCCAAGGGGACGCCCTCCCCAAGGTCAAACCAAACACAGCAGATGCCCAGAGAACCGCCCATCCGACATGGCAGCACAAGGACGCCATCTACTGTAAGAACTGCCGGTGATGGCTGCCCGACCTCAGGGATTCGTCCCCAGGGACTGCTGACCGCCAGCTCTCCAGTCCTCAGAAGCAGGGGCTCGGTCAGTCTTGAGAGCTCTAGAGATACGTAACCTCCCAAGGAAAGGGCTAGTTCTTTCAGATGCTCATGTGTCCACCATAGTTGACGTTGGCACATTTTATATCTAGTGTCTGGTATTGTTAGCTATCAATATAATCTAGAAGACAAAGTGTAAAATGCAAATTAGGGGCTGGCGGCAAATAAGCGCTGCCTAAAGGGACCACGTATCCCCTCTCTACGGAGGCGCCTTTGCCCATTTTCCTCTAAACGAGGCCGTGGGAGCTGGCCGCCAGGGCAGGAAGGGGTGTCTGTCTAGTGCAAGAAGACAGGGCCGCCCCCCAGCGCCAGGCTGCAGGCTGCGGGCGCCCACGTCTGGCGCTCCCTGTCGTGGGGCCTTTGTGTCCCTCCTTCCCAGGGCCCCTCGGGGAGGCTGGCCCTTTCTTCCCCACTCAATGGGGCCTGTGTGTCTCACTGCCATCAGCGTCTGCCTTTTACACTTCAAGCAACGGGGTCTGTGCCCTTCCTGTTTGAAAGGAATGTTTAATTCCCTGTTTCTCAACTTCCAGAAAGCTCTTTCCCCCAGTAAAATAAAATATATACGTTATTAGCAAAGACAACACCTCCTTAGCACTCCGGAAACAGAAGGGAGGGGCAAAACCCTAATTTTCCCTCCAGTCACCACGAAACCCAAACAACACTCTGACCAGGGGGATAAAAACAAAAGAGAAAACACAAACCCCCTTCCCAATGGTTTTCTCTGTGTTCTAATTAACCTTGAGAAGAGCCCACGCTGAACCCTAGGAGGAGAAGGCTCGCATACAGAACGGAAAAATGTGAGGTATGTTGGCGGGGGGGCTGGCCCAGCAGCCCCCTGGCTTAAGTGACTTAAGTGCCCCCTGCATCCGCTCCCTCCTCCGCCCCACACGCCTCCCCAGCCGGCCCTGGGGCACCACAGGGCACCACACAGAACGGCAGCCCTCCCTCCCTCCCAAAGAGCCGCCCCACTCCGAGTCCAGGGGGAAGGGGCAGCGCTACGCACTGGGCAACCCATGTAGGCAGAGTTGTGGACGCCGGGGGGCCTTTTGTAAGTGCCGTCGCTGTCCGTGGTGATGAGCCTGTCCTTCTCGGCATCTCCGGGGCAGCCGTTGACCTGCTGTTTCCGGCGTGGCTTGGGAGAACGCTTGATCCTCGAGCTGCCGGAGGGAAAAAAAGAGGTTCCCTTCATACGAAATAACCCTTCCGGCCAATGGCTTATCGACTCCACACTAAGCATTTTCTGAGCACCCAGGGCATGCTGGCCACCGGAGTAAACAGCCCACGAGATAAGACACAGTCTCGGCACCCAGGAAGCTCCTGTCTACCCAGGCAAACAGTAGGAACACACGAGGAACCACAGAGAACGACCGAGGCAGTACACGCTCACAGTGTTGTTAGTGACACAGACGCGCAGACGCAGGCGTGGTCGGTGTGAGCTACTGACGCACCGCTGGCCACATGGGGCCTGAGCTGGGTGTTGACAAGCAAACAGCGTCTGCAGAAGGGAGGGATGTGCGGAGAGGGTGCGAGGTGCAGGCATGACCACACCAAGGGCCGGAAATGGAAATGCAGGTGAAGGTTTGCGGACCAGAGGCCTCCGGCTAACGGAGTGGCAGGTCTGTCTGCACCGCTGTGTGGCAGACAGGGGGGCCCCGCCCATTACCAGGGGCACAGGTCGCACAAGGAACCAACACGGGTTTTGAGCAGAGAAAACATAACCAAGAGCGGTGGCTAAGAAAATGCATGTGTTAGGGACAGGAGCTGGACAGGCAAAGGGGATGGTGAGACCCCAAACTGGGAGGGTGGCCACAGGGCAGAAAATGAGACATGCACCTGCACTGACCTAGGCGACCAGCCTGGGAGGGGAGGAGATGGGGGTGCCCAGGAAGCTGGGGAGAGGCAGGCCTGGGAGGGGGTGGCCAGCACTTCAGAATGCTGACTTCCAGGAAACACTGACTTCCAGGAAATATTAGCTTCCAGGAAACACTGTAGGCCAGGAGATCCCGGCAGCAGAATGAAAGCAGCCCTTCTGCACACAGGTGGCCGCCCCTGCAGGGTCAAAGTCACCCCACTAGTGGACACAGCCTTTCTCTGTACAGACTTCTCTGCCTCATTTTCAGAGACTTTTCCCTTAAAAATGGGCGGGCCCTCCTCCCGCAGCCCTGACAGCAGAGGCCGCCTCCGCCCGGGGCCCCACCTCTTCCTGGGCTCTATGAACACGGAGGGCACGCTGGCCGTGGGGTCCAGGATCTTGTCGATCTGCATCTGCGCCCTGCGGTACACCCGGTGCCGCTCCCGCGTGTCGCCCGACGACAGGTCGTCCACCACCGGGAACTCGTAGTGGCCGCGGCGCTTGGCACGGAGCCGGATCTTGTTGCGGTGGTGCTCGATCTCCGACTTGTGCCGCAGCGCCGTCTGAATCTGAGGGGGCGAGACGGGAGGGTGCAGATGAAAGGGACGCGCCCAAAGGACTTGGGGACCCAGGCTCAGAGAGCGTTTGGGGAAGGACTCCCTGCCACGTTCCTTGCCCCCTGGACGGCTCCCACGGAGCCCCAAAGGGAGCGAGACGGCCAGGCCCACCCACACGGGGTGTAGGGGACCTGCTGTAGGTGCTGTAAGGCCAGCTGTGTGGGAGGGGGAAGCCGAGGTACCGCCCTCAAAGCCGGCAGAGGTGACTCGAACCTGGGAGATGGGCTGTACCAACTCAGGCGATACTGAGGGTCACTAACAACTAGATATAGTATGCCCTGAGAAAAGGAACACGTATTTTCCACACCCAATAATCACCACTTCAGAGGCTTTTAAATTAAGACAGGTTCAAAGAGGTTATGTGCATCACAAAGCAGAACGCACATTTACTGATAATCATCTGGTGCCACGCAAACAAGTGCTCTGACCCACGTGTAGGGAAGCATGTCACCCCCAGCCTGCTGGGCCGGAGCTAGACGTTGAAGAGTGTGTAGGACGAAGAGGGGGAGGGAATGGGGAGAGGGTGCGTGATTCAGGCAGGAGGCTGAGAGCCAGGAGCAGGAAAGCGGGTGAGCGCTGGGGGGCAGCGAGGTGACCGGATGCAGTGGCCGGTCGGCTGTGCTGGGGTGCAGTGCAGACTGGGAATCTGGCTGGGAGGAGACAGCGGGACCACTGGCCAAGATGAAATGGAATGTTCCTGGCTGTGCCACAGTGGACCCAAAGCCACCTATTTCTTGGAGACTGTTTGAAAAGGACAGTCGGTTGCATGAGGTTCTTGGTGACTTAGCAGCAGGAGAATTAAGAACACCCCTCTTCCTCCATCAAGATCTGATTGTTCCCTGAAATATATGCAGCCCCCACGGGAGAATGTAGATATGCTAGGAATGGGCGCCAGAATCTCTTGCTAAGAAAACATTTCAATTTAGTCCCGACCAGTGTGGCTCAGTTGGTTGGGCATCATCCCACAAAGCAGAAGTCGCCAGTTCAATTCCAGTCAGGACACATGCCTGAGTTGTGGGTTCCAATCCCAGTCAGAATGCATGTGAAATGCAACCAATCAATGTTTCTCTCTCCTTCTTTCTCCCTCCCTTCCCCTCTTTCTAAAAATAAAAAAGTAAAATCTTTTTTTTTAAAGAGTTAATTCTGCCCTGGCTGGTATAGCTCAGTGGATTGAGCACGGGCCTTGTGAAGCAAAGGGTCACTGGTTTGATTCCCACTCAGGGCACATGCCTGGGTTGCAGGCCAGTTCCCAGTAGGGGACCCATGAGAGGCAATCACACACTGATGTTTCTCTCCCACTCTTTCTCCTTCCCTTCCCCCCTCTCTAAAAATAGATAAATTTTTAAAAAAAAATAAAGAGTTAATTCTACTTTATTTTTAAATTTCAACTTAGATGTATAAAGGATTTAGGTCAGTGCAACAGTATTAATAATGCTCTAGTTTTTAAGTCAGGCTTTGAGTTCATTATTTATGCTGTATAACTAATCTGTATAACCTATAGGCACACATATGCATCAGATTCGTGATGCACATTCGCCTCCTTCTTTCTTCAGACGCAGAACCCACTCAGGGTGTTCCCAGAAGGCAGCCACAGAGCACGCGCACCGTGACACAGGTCCAGGCTAGGACTGGACTGGCAAGAAGGGACAGTACTCACCTCCCTGAACCCATGGCACATGTACTGGGGCCACTTCCTTGGCAAGGAGCCAGCGTGGCTGGGAGAATTCTAACAACTCTTGATGAGACTTCAGCAAGATCCCTTCAACGTGGGGCGGGGGGCTCGACCGCACCCACCTCTGATGACTTTGACCTGGCAGAACTCGTACAGCAGCAGGTATTTCTGGAGGCAGAGCACTGCCAGGCATGAAGCTGCCTCATGTACATTCCTACACGGCGGTCACTCCACTCGCTGTCCAGCCCGGGTCAAATCTCCCTCACAAGTTCAAATTAACAGTGACCTGGGCCGGTCTTCTGGTTCCCAACATCTTAGGAGGGGAGCAGATCCTCCCCACTCTTCCAGGATTCGCAGGAAGAGGGCTTCACCAGGGATTATCTAGGTCTTTGGAGCCAGAGCAGATCTGTGAGGCCTCGCCAAGTCTGCTGTGGTTCCGAGCCCAGCCCAGGCACAGTGATTCACGAGGGAAACCCACAGGACTCAGCCTTTCACCAGTTATTACAGCTAAAGGGTACAAAGCAAAACCGGCAAAGGGAAACCAGGCATGAGCTTCCGAGAGTCCTCTCCCAGCGGAGGAATTAAGCACAGCATGTGCAACGGATTGTGACGCCGTGTGTGAAATGCCGTCCACCAGGGAAGCTCGTTGGAGACTCAGTGCCCAGGGTTTTCACGGGGGCTGGTCACAAAGGCGCCCTCCGCCTGGCCTGAGGACCAGAGGTACCAAAATTCCCAACTCTCAGAAGGAAAGCAGATATTCAGCATCACTCAGACTGTCTGCACAGCTTCAGCACAGTGAGTCACTCTGTTCTGCAGATGGTGGGAATCTTTTAGAAATTCAAGTTCCCGAACCCAGCCACAGGGCAAAGCGGGACTTCTAAGCATAGCAGTCTTGAGTCTCTTTTCTGCTCAGCTGCCAATGCACCTAACAGTGTCCCTGAACAGTATCTGAGCTTAAAAAAAAAAAAAGGGAGGGGAATAGCTTTAAATTTAAAATTAAAAATACCTGTCAGCAGCTCATACCTTTTGCAATCTTTTGACACTTAGCCTTCACTCATTTTTAAGCACTAACCAAAACACCATGTGAACTTCCGTATTTGTGCGCTTTTTAATAAAAACAAATACCTCTTTGTTAATTTTGTTGGTCTCTGCTACGCGGTCAGCCAGCACGGGGTGGGGAACCGGAGGTGCGGGGATCGGCTGCATGGCGATCAGCTGGATCTTACTGGGGACCCTCCGACTGGCCTCCGAGGGGCGGGAGATCCTGTCCACGTGCTCGAAGATGGAGGCGGAAGAGTGCTGCTCATTCCCGGAGCTGGGTGGCGGCGGCCCTGGAACCGAGGGAAAGGCCGGAAAGTAAATCATAACGTCATCCTAAAGAGCGAGCAAATGAGCCACGACCGGTGGGGCTCAGTGAGTTGCGAGTAAACCTAAAACTTAAAGGTCACTGGTCTGATTCCTAGTCCGGGCACGGGACTGGGTAGTGAGCCAGGTCCCTGGTTGGGGGTGTGCAAGAAGCAACCAATCTATGTCTCTCTTGCACATCAATGTTTCTCTCCCTCTCCTTCTCCTGCCCTTCCCCTCTCTCTGAAAATAAATAAATCTTTAAAAAAAAATAACAAATAATAAAAAACATAGATTAATTCTTAAAGAATCCACACATAGGCCCCTGACCAAAAACACAACCCCCACTTTGTGGCAGAGGACTTAAAATGTGCCCACTGAAGCTTAAATGATCGGGTTCAATACCATCTCCTTCAGCCCCATTAAAAGACACAAATATCATTAGAAAAGAAATGAAAATCACAAAGACACTTTGTGCCAAAAATTGCCTTGTTTAGTCGAAAAGGGATTTCAAAGTCCTCAGTAAGACAGGGTCAAGGGCAGAAGGAGCCTGAAGTCACTCAGTCCACTGCAAATTGCAGAACTTGGAGCAGCTCTGAGCTCCCACTCCCACTGGGAGTGAGAAAAACTCAGTCGCCAAGGCAATTAGACTAGAGACGAGGGGACTGCGGACAGTGGGCGTGTGCTGATTAGCAGTGGGAGTTTCTGGGTTTTCCGATCCGATGTAGAAAGAAAATGAAGTCGAAGAGTCGTGAGAAGAAAAGGCCGTGGCCTGGAGGGAATTCATTCCCACTTTAAAAAGAGATGAGGAGTACACTAAAAAAAAATATTTAAAGGGGGAAAATTCATTTTACCCTTAAGTAAGTTTTTTTAAATGATTAAAAGCATAACTTGATGGCACATATATTTTTACCACAATGAATTTTTAAAGTAATCAGAACTGCAAAGAAAGAAAAAGAATTAAATGCACAGAAAAAAGATAGAGAAGAAACTATTTAAAATGTTAACAGCCCTGGCCAGTGGCTCAGTTGACTGGAGTGTCATCCCTCTATGGCAAGATTGCAGGTTCAATCCCCAGTCAGGGCATATACAAGAATCAACCAGTGAATGCACAGATAGATGGAACCACAAACCGATGCTTCTCTCCCTTCCCCCTCCCTTCCTTCCTCTCTCTCTCTAGCAAAAAAAAAAAAAAAAAAGTCAATAAAATTTAAAATAAATAAAATGTTAACAGACCAAATCTTGCTATAAGGGATGATTTTCTCCATTTTTTTCTATTTTTGGTAATAAGGATTTTCTCTGAGTATTATTTTTAAAGTAGAAATAACCCTAATGAACTTTCATTTTAAGGAGGCAAAAAAGAGATGGCGGGGAGAGAGAGATGAAGGGGATGAAGGGGGGTGAAGGGATGAAAGACCCCCACAGAGCTGGACAGCCTGAGATCACGGACTCCCTCTGAGCAGCCACGATCATCTCCGGGCACTCTGGACGCTGCTTTAAATAACACGGACCACGGGCGGGGAGAAGGCGAGAAAGCAAGCAGAGACTGTTTCCAGATAAAAGCCTGAGGTTTGAAACCTCAAGCATAATTGGAAATTATGAAAGTGTCTCCTCCATGTAAAAAAAAAAACAAACAAAAAAACCCAGAACTGAGCAAAGCAGTAACAAATAACAGCTGCTACTTGATATAAGGAATGCACATCGCTGCTGTGTAAGTCTTCACATTTCCTCTCCACCTGAATTGCACTCATCTGTTGCCCCAAGCAACTGGAAATGATGTGTATAGCTGTGAATGAACGTGGTCTGTCTCAGCAGGGAGGTGCAGCTGTCTCAATCCGGCTTTCCTCCCCTGCCTGGCTGAGCAATGCCAGTGGGCAGAGGCCCTCCCACCACACATCTGCTGGCAGCGTCTCGAATTGCAGGCACAAGGCCTAAAAGGAGATCATTAGCTTCACCAGATAGGCTGGCCTCGCTAACCCAGACTTACGAAGTGCCAGCAAATGTCACAAAGGGTAGCCCGCTACGCAACTGGTACCTAAAGGTGAGGTCCCTTCCCTCCAGGATGGTAAAAAGATAAGGGAGGCAGAGGGCTCCAAGGGGCTGGAAGGCAAAGGGGGCGTAGGCAGGCCCCTCCCCCTGTGCCGGCTGCCCTCCCCCGGGGACAAAGCCTCCAGGCTGCGACTGCCTCCTGCCCACGCCCTGCCCCACCCCCAACTGTGGCTGCAGATCCTCGCTCTATAATTCACCAACTGCAACCGGAGACGGAGGGCACGCACAGAAAACTGCCCGGGGCTGGGCCCTTCTACGGGGCTGAAAAGAGGGGTTTGCTATTTGTCACATACATGTAATACATGCTGCATGTATCTGGTGCATATGTACATATACTGCTGTATTTGTCATATATACAGATGCATGTGCACATGTATACACATACCCCAGCTTACATGTAATACATACTTATGTATTTTTATTACTAGGCATTGCACATTTAAAAAAAAACACTACACCATGGCGAACAGAATGGGTACACAGAGGTTAATGCTGTGTAAATCCTGCCTCAAGGGAGGCTGGGACTTTGGACTAAAGCCTCTTTCCCTTTAAATACAATAAAACTAAGAGTATGATAAAAATTACAAGATACTGTCAACCAAGGAGAGTGACAGAGGAAAAGGTAATCTGAATTACTGAAATGCATGAGCAACAGAGCACTTCTAAAGAAATATTATTTCATCAGCTAAGGTAAATAACACAGCCACACTGCCTTATGATTAATGGCTATGACCCACAGTAATATCCTGCAGGTGGCGGGCAAAGGTGTCCCTTCTCCGTCCTATCCCAGCACCAAACCCATCACAGGCACTTAGTCAACGTGGGCTCAGAGGGTGACAGACTAAATGACTAATCACCCCAACTAAGTTTACAAAATTTTACCTCCAAGAGGCCTCTGGGAATCTGCCTGAAATAAAAAGATAAGAATAACAAGGTACAATCGCAACCATTTTATAAACAGGTGCTCCCCAATTACTTGAAACATTTTGGTGTTACGTGTAGTCAAAATACTCGCCCCGCTATTGTGTTAAAGACTTCATTTGCCTGGCAAGCTCTTTAGCACTTGTCGAGGAAGGTGGCGGCTAGGCTCCTACCTGACGGCCTCGAGTTTGCAGTCTGTGGAATTCATATGAATGAAATTCTAAGTCCTTAAAATAATCACCCCCTGGCTCACGTGCACCCCGCAGAGAGCACAGAGAAAACACTCCGCCCTTCCCGGTCTTTACCTACTCGGCGCGTGCCTGACACAGGGGACAGAGGAATCACCGCGCCCAGCCACCGCAGCAGCAGGTCGATGGAGCCTTCACGCAAGTACGCAGAAGTTCCTCCTCCCTCCTCCCTTTCTTCCCAGTGAGTGGTAATAATGTGACTCGTTCTAAAACGGCAATGACTGTGACCACAGTGACATCTGAGTGAGCCCTTCCACAGAGTCTGTGGACGGCGTGAGCATATGCATCGTGGTCAAGCCAGCATCCAAACACGGTCAGCGGGGAAGGGAGCAAAGCACAGCCTCAAACTGACCGACACCGAGATAGAAGTCCTTGTGGTGCTTCCGACGCAAGGTAGACCCTGAAAACACCAGGCGACTGGGACAATTAATGGGTAGCCTTGCCACCCGCTGTGGGGAGAAGGGGCACCGGTCCAGGGCGTCCCGGACGAGGGCCACAGAATGCCTCAAGCAACCTCCTGCCGCCATTAGTTTGTAATCCATGATAACTAACAACAGAAGGAGGATTTTCACATGAATTATTGCAGAAAATAATCAAAAGCTATGATTATAAACACAGAATCTTTTAGATGGTATTTAACAAAGATCTAGGCAGGCAATAGAACGCCTGTATGGCAGTATTACAGCTGGAAGGACGTAAACAACATTTTATAAGTGAGTTGGCACAACCCTGGGCAGTGGCCCCGCTGGGCGGAGCCCTGTCCCGCACACCATAAGGCTGCAGGTTCCAGGAGGCACCCGATCGATGCTTCTCTCTCACATCGATCAGCTCTGGCTCGCTCTCTCTCTTCCTCTCTCTAAAATCAATACTCATATTCTTGGATGAGGAATGTTTTAAAAAGTGAACTGATATTTACAGTGAGAAAACCATCCTTCTAAAACATGAAAATAATGTATGGGTTCCCATGTGTGTTCGAATCACAGTAGGGACATGTGAGCCCCTCACAAGGACACTCAATCCACCCGCCTCCTTTCCCTGTCACCTCTCAGTCCCCAAACTGACATGGCCACCCCTGGGATTTTGAATATATGTTGACAGGGACACTTGATTTTTGTTTGCCACATAGCATATCCTTCTTGTAATCCTATCAGTAAGGAGTTAAATGTGAGAACTTTTTAAAAGCAAGATTTTCTCAGGGAAACAAAGAACCCGAGAAACTCCAGCGCTGATCCTCCTTTTCAAATATTCCTTCCCCGGGATCAAAATTAGATGCTAATCCTCCCTGCCTGAAACCACGCACCTGTTGCCATGGAGCTGAGTCCTGTTGACGGTTCTGTGAAACCGGATCCAAAGGGAACAAACTCTTCCCTTCACACTGAGAGTATTTTTTTAACATCAACACAAAACACCTGAAAGGAGCTGGACGGGACCTCAGCACGCAGCTAGATGAGTCCCGCTGGGGCCCGAAGGCCGCGGCACCTACTTGGAAGGTCATTGGCACAACAGTGTCAACACGGGCTCCCTGGCCTCCGTCCAGAATCTGTTCATTTCCACCGTACGGCTCACTCTGTACTGCATTTTCATACAGAGAAAGTGGTGATAAACAATAGAAGCAGAAACACCACTACTAAAAATAATGTCCCCGGACACCCCAATTTTCTTTGCATTACCGAAAAATCAACAAGGCGCCAGCAAACACAAGAGCTACCCCAGCACTTCAGTAACAGAATCGATTAAACTGAAACCCAGCTACCTGTCATCATGTCAGAAAACGTCCCCAAGTCTAGCAAGACCTGTGAGCTCCATTTTTTTTTTTTTTAAACCAGGTCACAGTAATGCCATTTGGAATGGGAGTGAAGTTCACTCCGGACCTGGCCCAAGATGCTACAGCATCTGACTGCAGACACAAATGCGCTAAACCAGCCCCAGCGCCCTGAACCAGAACACAAACCTCGGACCAAACAGAAGACACTGGGACCTGAGACACACACACAGCTTTCTGGCGGCTGTGAAGTTCTTAAAGTGGATGCTAAGAAGGTCGCAGAATCCTGGAGACAGTTTTTGAGACTCTGGTTTTAGCTCAATTCTTCCTTGTCCCTCAGGAAGGAAAACTGTCCAACTCAAAATGAGAATGGAAAATGGGGGCTGTGAGCCTCGACACCCACCCCCATGAGTCCCTAACCTCCTGCATCCCCCCCCTACGGGCCACCCATGATCCCCCCGCCCCACCTTGAGCCAGACACCAGCACTGGGCCAGACAGTGACCACTGACGCTGAGATGTTCACCATCCGGGCGACGAATATTCCATTGCACGGATTACTTTTTCAAGTTCGGCATTTGAGGAATCTAAAACCCTCGCCTTCTGCAACCTTATAACTACTACTCTGACCGTGGAGAGCGAGGAGATCGCTCTCCTGGTCACAGACCGCTGGGTGGGGCTCTGCAGGACTTGCCATCATTCGCAGCACCTGGTGCCTTCTCTCCTGCTTCCCTCTCGCTGGACTCTTCACTCACGGTGGAGTCGGCATCCGAGGGCGAAATTCTGCAGACACAAGACAAATGTCAGCATTAGGAAGAACACAGAAAAGGGGGAGGAAGGTCACTTTCCTCTGGATGTGGAAGTCAGGTGTCCAGGCATAACCAGTAGAAATTAGACAATCCCCAAAATGATTTCATGATACAGCATCTTCAAGGACATGAATAGCACTTAGTTATCTCTGGAAGACAGTGTAGCCCTTTGGGAAATAGCTCCACCAGCTGCATTGTAACCAATGCTAGGACCCTGGGAGCCAGAATAGGGGACAGTCCCCCGGCTACCAGGGCCCTGGCCTGGCCATCTGGGTCTGCAGTTCGGGCCTGGCTCAGGGTTACCTGGGTCTGCAGAATCTCTAGGAAGCCGGGGGCTTTCTACAGTCACCCCACAGAACTCCAGCCAGGTCTTCGGAAGACCGTTCCAGCACAAAGGCAACGATCACCACCGAGATTTGTTTCCAGATCCAGAGAGCGTGGGAGCCAGAGGGTGCCGGGCTAGGAGGCGTCCCTAAGCAGTGAGCACGGCTCCTCTCTGTGCTTTCTGCCCGCTTACACGGCAGTGGGAAAGGCCGACGCATTCTGGTGCCCACAAAGGAGGCCCAAATATCAGAGTAACCATGCAGGCCACTGAGAGGTCGTGACTAAATGTTTGGGATAAGACGGCCAGGGAAGAAAAAAACACTTCGCAAAATTGTACTAGCGCATGAAGTAATCCTTAATGATTTTAAGCAAATTAACATCTCTCTCCATAATGCAATTCCTTTTGTCAAGATCATGTTCTAACAGCCATTCAATTCTTAAAATGAGGCCAGAACCCCAGGGTAGGTTTTCTGATGTCAGATATTATAACATCGCTCCCACTATCATTATGATCACATACTTTTTTCCTCTTAGTAGAAAATCAGGATGGAGAATATTGAGACTCAAAGGAAGACGGATAATTAGAGGCTTCCGTAGCCAAAGCGTGACTGTGCAATTTCCTAAAGGCAACTGTAAAAAAAAAAAAAAGCCTGATTCTGAACCTGGTCTTTAACGGAGCTTAGCAAGCAGTTCTGCGTGTACTTGATTCTGACGGGAGGAATGGAAATGAACTCGGACTGGGGAGCTGGGCAGGGAGGACATGGGCAGAGTCCACGCAAATGTGACAACCACGGTGACAACAAGGACAGCCAGAGAAGAGTCAAGCAAAGACAGAACAAAGTGATGAGGTCATCTGGACGAGGAGCAATGAAGTCATAGCCACCCACTGGGACAATCAGCTGGGACAAAGCCGATGCTGGGTGTGTAGCAGGGGCCGTGGGCCTTCGAGGCATTATTTCTGATGCCATCTCCAGAGGGCTGAGCATGCTCGCCCCAGAATGTTACCCAGAATTGAACTGGCCAATCCCTAATCAGGTCACAACAGGACTGCCAGAGCATGACTCATAGTGATTGATAATCTTAAAGCCTCCCTTGGTAGTCCATCCGAGTGGTGTGAGGGTGTGAGGGCCCTCAGGTTTGCTGACTTTGGGCAAGCTGTGGTCAGTCTCCCGGGCTGCAAACTCTCAGGCAATATGTGTCCTCAGCCCTTCTGTTATGACAAATTCACAAACTGAAACCAGAAACATGCTCTACGACAGAGTACAATGCAGAGAGCCCAACACGAACCTTCCTCGGTGACGGACATTCCTGGAGGGGACCTTGGCCTTGGGGCTCGGGACGTCTCCATTTTCAGAGGGCGTGGTGTGGTCCTTCACAGGTCCCGGCGGCAGCGGAGCTGGCTCATGAATAATCAGAATGTCGTCTTTGTTGTGCTGGCCCAGGTGCTGCTTGGCAAAATCGAAGCCCTTCACGCTGGGGATCTGCAACTGAACAAACAGGCGGGACAGCCCCTCTGAAACCTGGCGACTGGGAAAGACTGGGAAAGGGACGGTGAGGGCTGGGAGACCGCGAGCACCAACTTCCGACTCACAACTGCGCCTGCCATCCCACCAACCTAACTCCACAGGCAACTCCAAAACGTCAAGCGCATGCTGAGTGCCGTTCATACCTCAAGTCTGCAGAAATGATGGGTGCTTGCAAAAAGTCAAAGAAGAGTACACAGATTACATAGCTAGACCATGATACAAAAGACAGCACGAGGCAATGCCTGACCCGCGGTCACAGTAGCGCAACTGTGTGCTATGCAATTCCAGGGAGAGGGACACAGACATAACATTCTACACAGAGAAACGGGGACGTGAGCCAGGACTCGGAGGACAGACAGAACTGATAAATAAAGAGAGCAGGTGACACAGAGTGTGTTCTAGATGGTCAGGGGCCAGAGGACACGAGGCTGGAAGAGGTCTCCTGAGCTGCCCTGGAAGGGTCATGGGACGGGGAGTGAGAGAAGGCTGGCCTGTGGGTGGCGACTCCAAATGCCAGGTCCAGAGCAGAAACCCACTATTTCTAAAGAGGCGGGTTTCTAAAACCCCAGCGGATGGGACACAGAGGGAGCAGGAAGGAAGAGGGCCCTGCGAGACCACAAGCATGGACTGACAGAAGCTGGGGCCCAAAACCTTAGTGAGGAAAATGGGGAGGGATGAGCGGTGCTAAACACTCCACAGCGGGGGCCGGATGCCAAACAGACACAAGAGGCAAAGAAGAGGAAGAACCAGCGGTGAGTGGGAGGTGCCCCCAGGGTAAACGGAAGGGCGGGCACGACACTGAGGGAAGGAGGAGAATCTCGAAGGGGTGACGATGGCAGGAGACGGGTTTTGCGTGACCCATGCTGGGGCTGAAAGGGCACAAAAGCTCCGAAGGAAACCAGGTCCGTGGAGCTGGAGTCAGAGGACAACGGCGTGGGGGACGTTCGGGCTGGAGACGTGGCTTTGAGAGCATCTGTGGAGAAGGTGGCGGGGAGGGGAGCTGACTTTTTTAAAGATGAAAATGGTCCATGAATAAAACGCCGGAAGACATCTTACAGTTCAGCGCTCAGAGAGGGGAAAAAAGGAAGCTAGAAAAAAGAGCCGACTTCAAAAAAGGGAAGAATTTGGATCATTCAGTGGAATAGAAGGCAAGGGAATAAAGGATTTCTAGAAAGGAGTGGCCAACAGAAGTGATTGGGGCACAAAGATGAAGGAGAAAGGGGGTCTTGGGAACATCCGCCCGTCACACTGGCGGGTGCGGGGGGCCTACGTGGGGCTCCAGGCACCAACTGCAGGCCCACCGCCGAGACCCCCGAGAGCCGGCCGCACAGGGTCCAGGCCTCCTCCTCCGGGCCTTTGCTAACACAGGAAAGGTGCTTGAAGTACACGGATACGTTGGACAGCGAAGGTGGGCCACCACTTTCGATGGGCGACCAGTGCCAGGGGTGGGTATTCCCAGTTTCCTCGAGCCGACCTTGCAGAGTGTAGAGCAATAAACGGTGTGTCCACAGCAGTCTCAAGGGTCTCCTCACCCTCAGCGGGGGCGCCGTGGGCAAACCCGCCGAGGCCCCCGGCCAGGCTGTGTCCCTCACCTACGGGCAGTGTGGGCTGTCGGCAGACACGGGGCAAACCCGTCTGAGAAGTTATTTCAGACCAGAGACTGTGTAGAAGCGAGAGGCTTTGTCGTGTTTGTGCCAGCTCTCTGCACGGATGCCTGACACCACCCAGGGCTCAGATGAGCGGCCTCCAACGGATTCACGGGTAGGAGGGTAGTCTGCAATCATCGCTAACGCCAGCAGGGGGAGACAAAACTTACTGCAACAATCGTTTACAAAGATGTTGCTTGGAAACAAAAGGCCAGGACGGGCCTGCCCATTTCCTAAAATAATGACAATGTGTTTCCAGAGCAGGCTACTCCCCCACACTGGCAGCAATGTCGTTTCGAACACAATACACCCAAACCTGCTGCTCCAAGGCTCCACCCAATTCCTGGCCCCCCCTCCACCCAGGATAAACTTATTTCCGCATCCCTGAGACTGGATTAGCACACAGACCTTCCACTGGGGTGTGCCCCCCACCAGGGGCACGTAGCCCTCTTAAGGGAACTCAATTCCAGATGGAAGACCTCTGTGCGTGTTCTCCCCTAAAAGGGATGTTCCTGGCAGCGTGGCAGTGGTCCGGGAGCCATGCTGGCCCCCTCTCCAGCCCCCATTCCTAAGAGACTTCCAACTGGACAGGGCAGAGAGGCACCTCTAAAGGTGCCTCTGAATGAAAGAATAGCAGTTGTCATCGGCAGTCAACTAATCATCACCATAACATCAACCCCGCATCAACCCTGGTGAAACCCTCATTTCTGGGTGAGACAGGGAATGCCTCTCGTGACTGGGAAACTCTTTTGCGAGGTAGATGGTTTGCTCTATCGACACTGGAGGAGGCGCCACAGACTGGAGACCTCTGTGAAGCGAAGGCCTCCAAGGGGAATACGGTAAAGATCACCACCAGGCTGCCTCCGTGGTGCCCCGAGGGCGGGAACTAGAGGCCTTCCCGACACACTGCCAGGGCTCGGGGGACTAACAAATGCACGTAGGTGTCGAAAGGCTTCACAAACGCCAAAGCACCTTTCAGGTGAGACTGACGGCATTATCACCGCTCTCGGTGGGTGAGCATCATTAATAGACGGTCAGCTAGGAGTTCGCAGGCATCCGATTAAGCAACCGATAGAAATCCAGATACAGAATTCTGTCACTCGGCAACAGGATGTGACCCACGGCAGACCCTCGATCCATGGTTTCAAAAAGGTTAGCTGACGCCTGGAACTCACTGGTCTTTATGCGGAACCACGGAAAGGGCCTACGTCCTACATGGAAGGGACACGCACGGTAGCCGTGAAGTCCCGCAGGCTTCCTGTGGATGCCAACGGACGTCTCCAAATACTAGATTCTCACACATCTCACAGGCTGGGTGACTCACCACCTTCTACAACAATAGAAACTTGGCAATGAACCTGTGCTTATGCACCCAGTGAAAGCCATGAATGCACAGAAGGAAAACAATAGAGGAATCACTGCCCCACCCCGGCCCCCACCAGTCGCTTACAGAATTAGCTACTTTTGCTTCATCCCTACTTTCTGGTATACTTTTTCTAGTTTTCCAGTTCTTTCTTTCTTTCTTTCTTTTTTGGTTTGTTTGTTTTAATCTAGAGTGAAGTCTGGCTGTTTTGTGTCTGCAGCTTCCACATTCAGAATAAACTAGTCAGTATTTGACAAAAGAAGGGAAGTGGTTAATTCGTGCCTTAATATTCATATTAGGACCTGGTGACTGCTGAGGAAGCACAGCTCTTTTGTTCCTTCTTTCTTTAAGATATCACAACGGGGACAGGCCCCAGGGTCAGCGCCCCACTGGAATATGTCATCCACAAGTTTGGGGGGGGGGGCCCCTGCTGGGCAGGTCAGCCAAGTAACCAGAGAGACGCCTGATGAATTTTAACACTGGTGAGGCATAAATGTAACACGACCCAGATGCAACAGGACACAGGGGTGTCCCCAGCACTCAGGCAGCCTGAACCCCAGGAAGGAGTATGAAGGTGACTAGGAAGCCACAGTGCAAACCCCAACAGCTTCTAAGTGAAAATGCACAGTCCTGAGGAAAATGCCACTGTTTAAGCATGCGCCCTGGGCGGATGCGCCCCGTGGAAACTCACCACAGCCACCAGGACCTTCCCTCGAGTGGTGAAGGCGGAGCTACTACCAAGAGAGTCTCTGCCGCGGCCCAGCATGGGCGCCGGGCCCTCCTGAGGCCTTGAGTCTGGGAGGCCAGTACCCCAATATCCTCCCGCCACAGGCCACAGAAGGTCACGGTCACCCGACTATGGGTGAGCGGGACCCACCTACACAGGGGCCCCAGGGATCCCTGCACGGACTCCACGGGCAACCACGGGGGGCCAGGTGCACTCGGCCCAGACAGAAGAAACACTCCTGCCGCGTCTCTCAGACCCACTGTCCACACTGCCCCCGAAGTGACCGTCCCAAACACATGCTCCAGCCACTGTCCCTGCTGAGACCCTACGTTCTCACTCCCAGCCCCTTACGTGTCCCCTCGGAGCCTGGCTCTCGCCCACCCCGCCTCCTCGGCTCCGGCCCGTGCCCTTCCATACAAACCTGTCCCGCCCCCCCGGCCACTCCATCCGGCTCGTCTTCGTCCACCTCGCGTCACCTCCTCTCGGAAGGCAGAGGCGGCCTGTCACCGGGAGTGGGGTGGCGGCCCCTCCCCCGCGCTCCTGCCGCGCCCCAGACAGACCGGCACTGTGACTGTGTGTCCTTCTCCCAAACCAAAGCCCTCGAGAGCAGGACTGCACACCTGTGCCTGCCCCCAGCCTGGCCCTGCTCAGCTCCCAGCTCTCGCTCGGTGTCCGGTGAGTGAACGTGCCATATCCAAGGCCGCCCCGCCCGGCTGCCCACAGCGCCGGCCCGGCCAGGGGCTGCGGTCCTGCCCCAGCAACAGGGCGCGGGCTGCCCCCAGCAGAAGAAATGAGCTCCCAGCAGCAGCAGGCGGCCAATGCCATGCCCATCTTTAAAAGAAACTCAACAGGGTGGGGTGGGCCCAAGCTGGGGATTTTGGGGAACAGTGGCAAGTGATGACTTTGGGCTACAGATGAAAGAGAATACAGATAAAAACAAAGACACAGGTTAGGGGTGTTTTTTTTTCATTGTTATTAGAAATAAAGAAAGACTCTGCTTCAAAATACGACAGAAGGGCCTCTCCCTCTTATCATGTTTCAAAACTGATCTATTCCCCTGACGATCTGAAGGCTTCCCTCTCACTACGGGGCGGGGGGGTGGAGGGGGAGTGGAGCTGTGGTCAGCAGATTCATTGTTTCCAGATGTTCAGAGGTCTCGAGATTTCACAGAGTAGCAGGGAGGCAGCACTGGGGGTGGGGTGGGCAAAAGGGGGGGGAGATGTGGAGAAAAGGAGGGGGGAAGGGGGAGGGGAGGGGCACCCAAGGAAGACGAAGGCTTCTGAGTCACTGGGGTGGCAGCACCTTTTCCAATCACCCCCGGAACATGCAAGGGGCCCTTGGCTATTGCCAGATAATCTCAGAAGAAGCACCTACGAAGCTTTGGTTTTCAGCTAGGCGGACATCATCGTTTTCCTGTTACAAACACACGGCAGATCCCCACGGTGGGTTCCGGTGCTTCTGAAACACGGGGAGGTTCTGCCCCCAGAACAATACGCGTCATCTCTCGGGAGGCTCCCCGCCGAGGACCGTCCCTGGAAACAGGCGGTGACAGCCAAGGGGCAGCTCCAAACGCTGGAGGCTGCATTTGAAACTCTGCCCGTCGGAGGTAGAGCCACCTCTGGGATGCGACAACAGTCAGGAAGTAAAGGTGGGAGAAGGAGAAAGGTTGGGGACTGTCCTGTTTTGTGCCACCGAGACACTGCCCTCGGACGGCTGCCTGAAGCAATGGGTCATGGACGGGCTTCCGCAAAGTCTTTACATTGGAGACTAAGGAGCATGAAGGACTTATATATGTAAACCACCTGTTCTGCTTAAATCTCTCTGACACTGGACTCTTGCCCCAGAACAAAATCATTTCCAATGAGATCTACTGTTGATCTCATTACACTAAAATTCACACTCTGAACCATTTCGTATACCAAGTACTACTTTTTTCCAGGTTTTTTTCTGTGCCATTCGCCAGTCTAAGAACCAAACAACCTTGGCAGACTATGTAAATAGTAAATGGAGGCACATAATATAACATTAACGTATAAAATGCTTCCGGTAGCCCTGGTGGGGTGGCTCAGCTGGTTGGAGCACCGAGCCCTACACCAAACGGTTGTGGCTTTGATCCCCAGTCAGGGGCACACACAGGAGGCAACCAGTCAATGTTTCTCTCACATCAATGTCTGTCTGTCTGTCTGTCTGTCTGTCTTTCTCTCTCTCTCTCTGCACCACCCCCCAAAATCAATAAGCATGTCCTCAGGTGAGGATTAAATAAATTAATTTTAAAAAATCAAATGCCTCCAATATACTTGATAGTTTAATCCAATGTACTTGCAATTTAATCAAGATTCTGCATTCCTTATTCAATTCATAAGAGAAAGAATATTCTTCATTTACTTTTACAAAAGTGAAATAAAGTTTAAAACAATCCTTATGTTTTCATTCAGCAGGTCTAAGTCTGTCATGCACAGAATTTTTTTTTTGTACCCACACAATCAGAATAAAATCCAAAGGTGAATCAGGAGATTCTCTATTCTTATTTGCTTTTTCTTATTCAACTCTTAGAGCTGAACAAGTCCTGTAAATTTACGAGACCCAAAGAGGGCACATGCTAGCAAATGTAGCTGATTCATGACCACGTCCCTCTCCCTTAGTGATGGCTGACCTCGTGCCATCCTGAATGTCGGCAGGTAGTGAGGTCTCCGGGACTGGGAACGGCACTGCTCACACCAGGTGAACTAGACATTGACCGAAAGTTGGCATCCTTGCTCTAAAACTTGTATGTGACCATTAAACATCGCAGAAACTATTTAAACAGGTGAGAAGAGTACTATTATTCCCATAAAAACTAAATTAAATTTGTCAGAAAGACATGGACAAGGAGCTGTTAAAATACCGCTGTCAAATTAAAAGTTGGCAAGTTAACTCTAGAAGATGGGGGGGGGGGGAGCATTAAAAAATCTAGGGAACTTTGCTCTCAGGTGGCTTTGCTCTTTTCTGAAGAAACCCAAACTGGAAGCTGCCCTGGTGCATTGTGGGTATTTACTATAAGAAAGACGCCAGGAAATTCCTCTCAGTAGACAAACACTCAAAAAACAAACCTTCAGGTGTGTTGAAAAATTTCTACCTGCCGTATTTTTGGACCATAAGACGCACTTAGGTTTTAGAGGAGGAAAATAGGGGGAAAAATTTGAAGCAAAAAATGTGGCAAAATATTTAATAACATAACTAACATAATATTTCACCAATGTAAATGTAAACAGAACTCAACAGCAGCATTAACCACCATTATTCCTCCCAAATTTGGGCGGGGGGGTGCATCTTATAGTCCAAAAATGCAGTAAATACCTATTCACACATTTAAGGTGAAATTGTTTACAGCAGGTACTACCATTCTTTAATGATTAAGTGGTCTTCATCAAGGTGGACACAGGGACTTGCAGCGGATGGAAAATAAAGGGCCACCCAGTGACGCTGTGAATGAAAGAAACAGACACACAGATCGGACAAAATCTGATCGGCTCCCATTCTCTGAAGAGATCAGAATTCGTCCCCAGAACAGATGTGATCTGCTAACCGATGGTCTCACAAACAAAATCACTGTGGACTCGAAGGCTCTCGAAGGCATGGCCCGGCCTCTACCCAGCTTCGGAGCCTTGGCGCACAGCTAACACTACAGAGGAACCAGGGTCTCGGTACCCGAACACGGAGGCAAAGGGGCACCGCCGTGAGAGCCAGATTTCCCTACCAGCTCTCTGTCCGCACCCAGAGCCCGAGCCCCCCCCCCCACCATGCCGGGGGCTTGCCCCTCACCTTCTGCCGCTGCTGAATGTTGGCCACGGCGTCGGGCTGGAAGTCCAGCTTGTCCGTGCGGCAGAGTTTCCAGTAGAGGATGACCACAATCACCATGGCCACCAGCACGGGGATGACCACGCCCACGATGACCCAGAGGTTGCTGCTCTGGGACTCCGGCGACGGCCCCTTCACCCTGTCCACGGCTGCGGGCGAGGAAGACAGGTGGCTGAGTGACTGCCTCCCAGGACAGCCGCCCTGGGCAGCGCGTGTCCTGTCATTTCCGCTCAAGACAACCGGTCAGCGGCTGCGATCTGATGACAGGACACGCGGCCACGGGTACAGACGCTACACAGAAAGTCACAGGGAGAACACGGCAGGGATCACAGTGACATGGATGATGCATCCCAGCGGCTAACTCAGCGGCAAGGCCAGATTCCCACTGGGGCTCCTGGCTCAGGCCACGAGCGCGCTCCCAGTTCTCACTGCAGGACCACCTCTGCGCCCACAGTCAGAGACCTGAACTTCCTCAGCTGTCTCTCTCCCTAAACCCGTGAAACACGGCCTGTAATCGAAATTGCTTTACTTAAGGTGCCAGCGGTCAATTTTAAAACCACATTAAATCACTTCCTTTCTCCATCCCCGGCCAGCTGGGCAGCTACTCTTGGTTGGGGTGGGGGGTCATCCGAAGTCACTGGAGTGGATCAACTCTAGGCTCCAACTCGTTGTGAAAAGTGGTCAGTACGTGCTGGGCACACGCAGACCCTGAAGATGGTCAGACGAGGCAAACTGGTCGCCCTCGCCACCACCATCCTGCCTGGAGGAAATCTGGAGTGGAGTGTCGTGTAACCGTGGCCAGACTGGGGTCCACCACCATGGGGGATGGGGGCGGGGCCAGGATCCCGAACCGGGCACAACGTGTGGGACACACTGCAGGGTGTGCACATGGGTGCCACTGGTCCGGTGACTGGGACATCGTCAGGACTGGGCCAGGACAGGTGAAACGTAAATCATGCAAAAGTGTTCTCTGATGCAACTGGCCAGAGCATGTTGGAAAAAGTAATAATAAAGTAAAATAAAACCACATTAAATCGAATCAAACTTACTTCGCACCTGCCTATCCCCACTCTCCTGCACCCACCTTGCACCATGACCTTGGACAGTTACGGTTCCATGACTGTCCTTAACTTCCTTTGCCAGCTCCTCTCCCTAATCCTGCCTCCCAGAGCTGGGCCCTCGCCCCCTTCACTCTGTCCCCATCCTCTCAGGGGGCTCGGCTCTCCTTAAAGCTCAGGGGCCAGCCACCAGGCTCCGAAAACCAACAAGCCCCCCTCCTCAGGGCTGACTCATAACAATCCCTCCATGACACCTGCTTCTCCTTGTCTTTTGTTCTGGCTGGCTTTGCCTTGCGGATGGTCCCTCACTGTTTCGTTTAAGATGCATTTCATCACATCAGCGTATCGCGTTGATGTGCTGGGCTACTTTGCCCATGACTATGGGCACTGCTCTAAGTCTTGTCTCCTCAAACACGTCACAGTCTCCAGGGGCAGGACCACGCTTTGCGCTCTTTTCGCATCCGAAGGTTAACATGTGCTGTGGGATCGAAATGCTTCTGCTCCGAGATGCAACAAAAACGATTCTAGGTGCTGCTCCCGGTCTCTGGGCCGAGGCCCCGGAGAGAGCGGCAGGGGAGAGGGGCCAGCACTCCACGGTACACACACCGTGAAGGATGGACAATCACAGAGCGGGGACTGCACGGGAAACGGGAAAGGCGACTGTGATAACAATTCATATTTTTTCAATCTGGCCTTAAATATAGTTCGTTTTGCATGGAAAAAACTAACAATATGGGAGGGACGGAAGGACCCTGTGGGGCGGGGACAACCGGATGCTCTTCTTAGTTCTAAGCCAGGAAGACCCCAGGAGAGGCACAGGTCGATCAAAACGAGGCCCTGGCACCAGGACCCGAAGCTGCCTCGGGCTGCTCCTGGCATTGGGCTAGGGCTCCCATCCTGGGACTCTCACCCCTGTGGTTTTTAGCACCAGAGGAAAGGGAGGGGCAAGGAGCAGCTGGAAGTGGGCCTGGAAGGTGCCCGTACCCAACGGCCATTCACCTCTTTAAAAGGTGAAGAGCTTCACTGGGGTGGAGCTTCACCTCTCCAGCGACCTGGAAAGCTATACAGGAAAAAAGGTAGGGACACGCTTGATTCTGTTCTCACTGCTTTGAAGTAGAACACACTGAGGTGCAAGCACGTGGACCCTCAGCAGATGGTTATTTGCACCAAGGTCCCACCCTCTGCTATAAAGCGGAGACAGCGTGGCCACCAGCCCTCCCTCTGGTTACTTTGCAGGGACAAGTGCAGATCTCACAAAGCCTCTTCCGGGACAAGTGCAGATCTCACAAAGCCTCTTCCACCGCCGAGGACGATTTCGAAGCTGTCCGCCTATGAAATGGCCTTCACCGCCTTACACGTTCACTGCAGTTTTTCAACCTTCTCTGAGGCTGAATTCCGCCTAAACGTTTACTTGCCCTGTACCGCTGGGAGCAAGCATCCCTGGGCCTTTACAAGAGTTGCTCTCAGAATCATAAAGGAAAAACAGTCGCATGAAAATAGCAGTCTGACTCATAAAGGTATATTTAGAGAAATACACTCTCCCATGCCTCGCCTTTTCTTAGTTTTAAACACCCGAACTCTGTGAGTTGGAAAAAAGGCACTGAGATCAGCCCATGCCAGGGTGGGCAGGGGCCAAGTATCTTCCAAAAATAATAAAGAAGCACCCAAACACCTCTTTCTGAATTGTGGAGTGACTGAGGCTTGGGTGGGAGAGAAACAGGATTGCAAAGGGTAAGGATCAAGGACTTCTTTGTGCTAAAAGACCCAGGAGGAAGCCAATAAATGCAGAAGGCACCTCCCTGCTTCCTGTGTGACTCACTGTCCCCACCAATGTTCAAAATATGACATATAAGATTTTGGAAGAAATACAGAGAAAACACAGTATTTTACCTAAGACAGAACAGGAGCAGGGGAAAAAATATTAATGTTAACTGAAGCTACTATAACTCATTAGAATGCTATGAGTACAAAATACCGGGTGGGGAAAACAGCCGTGAATCCTATAACCACAAGCAACTGAAACAGAGGAGGTCTTTTCCAATAACTTTTAACCACTGACATCTTATATAAGTACCACTTAATAAATAACATGGGCTTAAGACATACGCCTATTATACCCACGTAAGAATGCTTTAAATTCAGAGTTCAGTGTCCAAAAAAAGACTGGTGGCTGACCCCAGCACAGCACAGAGGACCGTCCCCCCCAGGGCCAAGCCTCAGTCACTTACGTTGGGCCACAGCGCCCTGAATTCGGTAACCCAAGATAATGGCCGCTCTCTGGATATCGATCTTGTTAATCAGATCCGAAGACCTGACCGCACTGAGTCTCTCTCCGTCTTGATCTTCCACAAAGTAGATGAGCTGCACGGGATGGTCGTCTCCCTCCAGCCGCGACACGTTCACCACCTGGGAGATAACAGAAGCCGTTAGCATTTTAGAGGCTTGTGTTTCCAGATGCCCTTTCTCTGGGCACTCGGCCTTGCCTGTGTTATCCGGGATTTATTCCCGTCCTCCTAATAAACAACTTCCATGATTCCGGGGTCCAGCATCCCCATGTTGCTCTCCTGACAGGAAGAGGGACCGTCACAATGCAATTTCCTCTGTGCAGAACAACAAATGAACTTCGTCTTGCTCGAGGTCTTCTCTGAGACGAAGGGCCCTTACGATACACAGACCACAGGGTTGCCATGTCCAGGAATCTACACTTGCCACCGAGACGCTCCAGTGTGGCATGGGAGGGTGCTGCTGTCCTCATGACACCCACCACAAAGGGCTGGGCATGCCCCCGGTCATCTGAAACTACTAACGGTTCTATCCAATCCCTTCTCAAATCTATCAGCATTTTCTCCCTGTTCGTCTGGGGCAGGGTTCTCAACCGTGGTACCACTGCCGTTTGGTCCAGATAGTTCTTAGAAGTGGGGGCCTGTAATGAGCACTGTAAGGTGTTTAGAAGCATCCTGCCCTCTACCTGCCAGATGCCACTAGCAACAGCCATGTTCCGCTCCCCAACCAGCTGTGACAAGCAGAATGTCTCTGGACAGTGACAAACTGTACCTTGGGGGTACAAAATCATCCCTAGTTGAGAACCACTGCTCTTGGCATAAAAAATCTCATAAATTCTTTAATACCCTCCTCAACAATGGATAGATCATTCAAATAAATAATCAATAAGGAAATAGCAGATTTGAACAACACTAGAGACCTGAAAGACACATGCAGAACATTCTATCCAAGAGCACAATACACAGTCTTCTTAAAGGCACACAGTACCTTTTCTAGGATAGATCGTATGTGAGGCCACAGAAATAGTCTCAACATGTTCAAGAACACAGACATTTTGTCAAGTAACTTTATCGGCCACAGTGGTGCGAAACTAGAATCAATAATCAAAGGAAAGCTGGAAAACTGAAAAATACATGGAAATTAAACAAGGCACTCCTGAAACAACCACTGCACCAAAGAAGAAATCAGAAGAAAAAGTTTAAAAATCCTAAATGAAAATGGAAACACAAGATATCAAAACTTATGAGATACAGTAAAAACAGTTATACACAGAAAGTTCATAGCCACAAACACATACGCCAAGAAAGAGCTCAAATAAACAATCTGACACCTCAAGGAACTAGAAAAAGAAAAAACTAAGCACAAAGTTAATAGAAAGAAGGAAATAATAAAGATTAGAGCAGAAATAAGTGAAATAGAGACTAGGAAAACAATAGGAGAGATTAACAAAATAAGCATTGATTCTTTGAAAAGAGAAACAAACAAAACTTGAGCTACATTAACCATGAAAAAGTGAGAGTTCTCGAAAATTGCAAATGACAGAGGAGACATTATAACAGATACCACAGACATAGAAAGGATGAAAAGAGACTACTACAAATAATTATTCACCAACAAATTAGATCATCTAGAAGAAATGGATTAATTCCTAGAACAGCACAACCCACCAAAACTGAATCATGAAGAACAGAAAATCTGAACAGAACAAGTAATGAGTAAGGAGATTAAATCAGTCATTTAGAAAAATTCCTCAAAAAGAAAAGCCCAGGCCCAGATGGTTTCTTCACTGACCAATTCTATCAAACATCTGAAAAAGAGGTAATGCCAACGGTCCTCAGAATTTTCCCAACTGAGGAAGGAATTGCTCCCAAACTCATCTTATGAGACCAGCATTATTCTGTACCAAAGCCTGGTAAGGAAACCATTGAAAAAGTAAACCACAGATCATTATCTCTGATGAACACAAATGCAAAATTTTTCAACAAAATACTAGCAAACCAATTTGACGGCACATGTAAAGGATCATACACCACAATGAAGTGGAATTCATCCCTGGATGCAAGGATGGGTCCACATAATCAAATCAGTCAGATATACCACATTAATAAAAGCATCATAAGACCACTCAATAGATGCAGAAAAGCACGTGACAAAATCCAACACTCATTCATAATAAAAACCCTCAACAAACTGAGTACAGAAGGATGATACCTCAAGGAAGTAAAGGCCATATATGACAAACCCACAGCTAACATCGTACTCAACAATGAAAGGTTGAAAGCTTTTCCACCAGGATCAGGAACAAGACAAGGATGTTTCCTCTCGCCATTCCCATTCAACACAGTACTGGAAGTCCTAGCCACAGCAATCAGGCAAGAAAAAGAAATAAAAGGTACCCAAATCAGAAAGGAAGGAGTAAAACTGTCTTTGCTTGCAGATGACATGATCTCCTATATAAAAAACCCTATAGACTCCATTAAAAAAAACTATTAGAATAAGTGAATTTGTAAAATTGACACAATAAAATTAGTTATGTTTCTATAAACTAACAATGAACTATCCAGAAAGACATAAAGAAAACAATGCCATTCACAATAGCATCAAAAACAATAAAATACTTATGAATAAATTACACCAAGGAAGTGAAAAATCTTTACACAAAAAATTATAAGACATTGATAATTGAAAAAGACACAAATAAATGAAAATATATCCCATGTTCAGAGCATGGAAGAATTAATATAGTTAAAATGTCCATGTTATCCAAAGCTACCTATAGATCCTGTGCAATCCCTACCAAAATTCCAATGGGATTTTTTACAGAAATAGCATAAAACAATCCTACAATTTATAAGGAACCACAAAAGATCCTGCAAAGGAGCTAAGAAGAGTCAATGTGGAAGGGATAATCTCTTTGTTAATGGTGTTGGGAAAAATGGACAGTCACATGCAAAAGAACAAAACTGGACCACTCACAAAGTAAGTTCCAAATGGAAAGACTTAAATGTCGGATCTAAAATCATAAAACTCCCAGAAAAAGACACAGGGAAAAAAGCTCCTGGATGCTGGTCTTAGTACTAAGATTTTTTAGGGAGGAGACCCAAATCACAAGCAACAAAAGCAAAAATAAGCAAGTAGAACTACATCAAACTAAAAAGTTTCTGCACAGCAAAAGAATCAACAACAATGAAAAGGCAAACTATAGAATGTGAGAAAATATTTGCAAATCATATATCTGATAAGAGTTTAATGTCCAAAATACACAAGGAGATCATGCATCTCAATAGCAAAAAATATACAGACATTTTTCCAAAGAAGATATACAAATGCCAACAGGCATATGAAAAGAAGGTACTCAACATCTTAATCAACAAGAAAACGCAAGTCAAAAATCACAATGAGATACCACCTCATACCTGTTACAATAGCTAATATCAAAACACAAGAGGTACGTGCTGGGGAGGATGTGGGAAAAATGGAATCCTTGCGCTCTGTTGGGGGGAATATAAATCGGTACAGCCGTTACAGAAAACAGTGTGAAGCTTCCTCCAAAAGTTAAAAATAGAACCACCATCTGACGCAATGATTAGACTCCTGGGTGTGTATTCCAAGGAAATGAACTCACTATCTCAGAGAGAGATCCGCACTCGCGCGTGCACTGCGGCGCTGTGTGCAACAGCCAAGACACGGCACCAACCCACGGACGGGTCCATCTGTGGGTGTATGGATGAAGGCAATGTAGTTGCATACACACAATGGAACGACAGTCACCAGCAAAAACAAAGGAAAATCCTGCCGTTTGTAACAACATGGATGGACCGCAGGGGCATTCTTTGAAGTGAAAGAAGTCAGAAATTATACTGCGCGAAAAAAAAAAAAAAAAAGCCCTCATAGAAACAGAAAGCAGATTGATGGTTGCCAAAAGCCGGGTGAAGGGGAAATGGGTAGAGGCTGTCAAGGGGCAGAAACTTCCAGTCGTAAATCCAGGGATCAAACTATGGCACAGTAACATAGTCAATGACACCATACTGTACACCTGAGAGATGCCGAGAGATCTTAATAGTTCTCACCACACACACACACACACACACACACACGCGTGCGCACGCAAAACTAACTGTGAGCAATGGTGTGTTAACTAACCTTACTGTGGTAACCATGTCACTCACAATCTACAAGGTCTGTCCAGAAGGTGTCCAGCCATGTGACGTGAAAAATAGAGACATTCACTGAAGAAGATACAAGGTACAAGAAACACTGTACACAGGACAATGACATCTCAGTCCCTTTTCAAAGTAGGCACCTTGGAACCTCACACAGTTCTCCCAGTCACTGTCAGCTGCCCCACTGTATTTTCCTGAGTCTCATCACTGGTCTGAAATCTCTTCCCTTTCAAAGGTGACTTTAGTTTTGAGAAAAACCAGAAGTCACACAGCCCTGAATCTGGGCTGTAGGAGGGCCGAGTCACCTGGGTGATTTGATGGTTTGCAAAAAAATCTGCAAGAGACGTGATGCATGATCAGGAGAAGCATTCCTGGAGAAGCTGATCTTTACACCTCTCCACCCTGCGGGGGGCTCGTATCTGGCCTGCCCTTTGGTGTCTCTGACCAGTTCCCTGACCACTTCTGTTTCCTAACCACCACTTAGTGCAGCCAAACGGCGCTGCACTAATTTTTTATTAGCCTTCAGAATTAATACTAACAAAAGGGCTCCCATAAGGCAAGTAGATTACACCCACCTGTGCCTACCTGCATGCCTATTTATTCCACTGAAATGTTCCGGTCCATTGCAGAAATGGTTTCCCCTTGCAGAAGCCATACTTCCAATCCCCAGTGACGCCCAGCCCCACCGAAGATTCTCCGAGCCTGTCCAACCTGAACACAGCCGTCCAGCCTAACGCCGGCATCCCTTCTGGGGGGCTTCTTCCCAGACCCCGATCTGGAATCCACGCAGCCACGGTGGGAGGAGCCATCGTTCTGGGCAATGTTTTCAATTTCACTTTAAACATTATTTTCTGATTAAAATCACATGTTCGCTAAAGAAATTGCACATTCACTGGGGAAATTTTCAAAAGCACGAAGAAGAATGTAGGAAGAATAAAATGAAAATCACCTCAAGTTCAACCAACCAGAGATAATCCTTGTAAATATTGTGGCATATTTCCTCCCATTCATCTTTTCGTGAGTTTTATATTAATAATTGGATTATTTTGCGCACGTTCTTATGCAGTCTCTCTTCAGTCAAGATTTCTCCTCACTAATTCAAAAAATGATAATGGCTGCCCAATATTCCAACATGTAAGGATCACGACAATTTCTGTACCTATCCCCCTACTGCTGGACATTTAGGTTGTTTGAATACTTTCACTTTCACAAATTATGTTGCTAACGAGTCCTGTGCCCTGTACATGATTCCCTATCTCCATCTTCACAGCTGGCCACTCCAGTGCTCCATGAGAAGCAGGGCATGGTGAGTAAGCAACCCAGGAGACGGCACTGTTACCGAGGGGTGAGTCGGGTAGCTTTCACTTACCCACTATTCCCACCTTAGGGAGCTTTCCTACCTAAATCTAGCACCTCCTCTGTCAACGTACGGTGCTTTATAACTGTTTTCTGTGCGTTTGTTAACCTCCGCCCAGACCTTGAGCTCTATGAAGCCAGGGTGACTGAATACGGCCAAGCTTTTATAATTCATTTTCATTGTTCTTCTTTGTTTTATATATATAAATATATTTACATGTAAATATAAATATAAATATATATTAATATGAATATCACCCTTCTATTAAGTTTTTTAATTTCTCCAGATTCTACTGCATCTGGCAAAGAAACTACTTTAGAAACCTAACCACCACCTCTGTGGGAAGGGAGAGAGAGAGCAGTACTTACAGGGAAACCTGGTCGGAGAGTTGGGGACGATGACACCAGCCCTGGGCCAACTGCCACCCTGCCCCTCCCCAGAGTCAGTTCTGCATCCTTCTCTCCAACGCCCCTGGACCACCAACCGCCCGCTCCTGGACATCCGGTTTCACCCGAAGTCTCCTGTCTCTGGAACGCCGCGGCAATACTATCCCATTCTCCCGGCTCTATGAGCCAGCAGTTGGTGAAGGGGAAAATCCAAATCACATTAATGCACACTGAGATGGGAATAAATCACAGCCCAACCTCCAGCTCACTGTGAGCCTCTGCATTTAAAATGGGTCACTCTCCAACTGAAACGAATCGTCATTTGTAACTTTTCTGCTAATTTATAGGAGGGAAGGATGTTTTGGGTAACATGAGACAAGCAGGGGTGGCGGGAGGCGTGCGGGATGAGGCGCTCAAATGGAGGGCAGGGAATTTTCCTCTTTCTCACTTCTTAAGGTCTCTTGCAGCTGAGCGATCCATCTCTATGAGACTCTCAGTAACATTACCACTGCATCATCCAGTGCATTTTGCATTTAAAAAAATTACTTTTTGAAAAATAAGGTCATCCCATGGCTTGGCAACCCGCTGACAAAAGCTGTTGGCTGTGCTCCCCGCAAGATCCATTCCCGCACTGACCACTCACCAAGGACTCGGGGAGTATTTGTCTACAGTCTAGTCGAACTGAAATGCTGCCCCATTTGGTCGCCATCGAAGACAGCAACCCATCGGAATCAGAAGGTTCTTGCTGCCTTTCCCATTTGCATGAGAATGTGGCATGACTTCAGTCTGCTCTCTCTCCTTCCTACCTGCACCACGCTGTTGCCGGCAGCCACGGTGGCCCTTCTCCACATCCGCCTTCTGGTGGACACCTCACCCAGCAGCTGGGCCAGTTTGCGCTCCATCTCGGCTTGAAACACTTCGTTCTGAAGCTGCTTCTCAACCACGCCCAGGAGGACTGCATTTCAAGTGAAACACACACAGGGGCCCAAAGTGAGTCAGCGGTGGAGGACAAAAAGGATGGGTGTAGGAGAGAAATTAACACGCGGTCACCCTAAAATGCCAATCTCCAGAGTGGTGACTTTCAACCCTTTTCATCTCTTGGCACAATATAAACTAATGACTAAAATTCTGCGGCACACCAAAAAATGGAGTCTATTTTTTTTGCTGATCTGACAAAATAAAATAGGTATAATTTCGCTTCACTCACACTGGATGGCTACTGCTCTATGGGCTTTTGCCATTTTTTTTTTTTATTTGGCAGTCTAAGGGAAAAGAGGTCAGTGCCCCTGACTAAACAGTCAGGTGTTACACGTCCTACAAATTCTAGTGGAACACGGGTTGGAAGTTGCTGCCCTGGAAGAGGAGACGAGAAGAGGGAGGAAAGCAAGGGAGGACCACAAAGTGCTGGTCAGGAGTCTCATTTGCAGTTCCGAGCCCACATGTTGCAAAGACTGGTGGCCAGAAGTCCCAGACACTCAGCAAGGCCAGTGCTTTGGGGCTGAAAAGGCCCGAACAGGATCAAACATTTGGTCTCTGCTCTTTCTTTCAAAATTCCTGGAACCGGTTTGGGTTCGTATCTTATCTCGACTCATAAACTGACTTCAGATAAGGTGCCTGTCTTCGACGTCTGCTGTAAACAAGATTATCTCAGCAGACCATCTGCCAGATTCCCCTTCCCGCCAGCACTGGCTCCAGTCCCTCGGAGACAGGACCACGGGCCAGTCACTTAACTGCTATGAAAACTATCTGGAAAACGAGGCCAGGGCACCTCGCAGAGAGGTGGGGCCTTTACATGGAAGTGCTGAACGGGAAGCAGAGGGGGCCTCGCAGGGTGCGGGAACTCGGGAACGGGGCCTGTTGCCACTCCGTGTTCTCCCTCCCCGTGACCGGCGCCACTGTGCTGCTCACACGTCGGACACGGGGGAGCACGTTACTACCCTCACACTTGCGGGCACCGGGTGAGAGAGTCTGGTCCGGCAATGAATGCCAGAGCTCTAAATACCTGACTCCGGCCGAGGAGACTTTGAAAATAGCTTCTCATTTGCTCACCGCGTTACCTTTCTGTCCTTATATAAAAGCAAACAAATAAAACTTTTAGAAAGAGAGAGAGAGCCTTGCTTCAGAGCCTTGTGCCATTCTAGCTGGGGACATGGTCAGCTCCCGTTAGACTGCCCTGGACGTGAGGCATGAATCTGAGAGAAAGCCAACGCTTCTCGTGCCACCGCTCAGTGGGACGTATCCCCACAGCCAAGTCAGAGTCCCCTTCTCAACTATCCTTTGCCAGGAGTTCAAGGTGCACTTTGCCCTGGAGTCAGGACTGAGAAACAGGAAAGGTGGACTCGTTCTCTTAACTGAAGCGGACGGCCGCACCCAGGCCCACACGGACCCCTATTCTCACCGGAACATGACGCAGTTCAACGCACCTGTTCTCACCCAGGACGACTTCAGCAGCTGGGACAGGTTGAGCTGCGGGTACTGGAAGGCTGGAGAAAGGGAAGGGTTAGGTCAGGAGAACAGGTCGGTAAAAAACATGTTTGCAACACTCAGAAGAAAAATGTTCTAGGAAACAGTGGGTAAGTGATGAGGCACTGCCTGTGCTGTATGGTTCAGCACTAAACACAGAGGGAGAAAATGCCCGATCAGGGTGAAGGTATGGACAGCGAGCAGTCTCTGAGCATGGGAGTGCCAAGGGAAGAGGGGGAGGGAGGGAGGGAAGGAGAGACGGACGGAAGGAAGGAAGGAAGGAAGGAAGGAAGGAAGGAAGGAAGGAAGGAAGGAAGGAAGGAAGGAAGGTGGGCTTGCTCAAGTGACTTGCTGGGACGCTGCTTCCCAGGATCAGCTCATGTGCCTTTGGAAAAGCGACTGTCCCAAAGCAATGAGTTTTCACACTGTGTCCTCAGAGCCCCCGGATTTCCCAGCAGTGACTCAGGGTCAAATGACCCTATGCTCTGGCTTGCGTGGGACAGTCCTGGCGCACACCTGTCGTCTAGCCACCTATTTTATCCACATCTTCGCGTGCACTGCTGACCACTGCCCACTGTAAAGAACGATTTCATCCAGGTCGACTGCTGCATTTGACAAGTTATTCTTTCTCATGTAATTAACCATACACTGAATACATTAAGAATCAACGGACCGTTCCATTTTAATAAATAAATATTTATTTATTTTTATTTTTGTGGCTTGATTTCAACTCTGGAATCTGCTAGTTTGGGTTTTATTTTTGTTTCTGAAGCAAATGTTTCCCCCACCCCACTCCATTTGTACTATGAATCTAATTCCCAGGGAGAAAAGTGTCATTTGTCTTCATTTATTATTGTTTTAACTGTACATGAAATAAAATTCACTCTTTTGGGGGGGGTCTAGTTTGGAGGGTTTTGACAAACGCACAGCATCATGGAACCGCCACCCCGATGAGGGTGCAGTGGACAGTCTCGCTGCCTCCCCGAACTGCCCTCTGCTGCCCCTCTGTGGTCCGGCTTTCCTCCCACCCTTCTCCTCTGGCACCCACAGGGCTGCTCTCCACCCCTCTGGTTCCACCTCGTCCAGAACAGGTCTCGTCTCTCATAGCACCCTTCCCTAGGAACAGAGGCTGACAAAGAGGCCCCGTGGGTGGGCAGGGCTCTGAGACCCACCCTGGCTTCCATCTGAGAAGCTCCCATTTTATCTGACTTCAGCTAAATCTGTCACTTGAGAAACAGAGGGCCAACGACAAAAACGCTCGGGGCTGCATCCCGGGAGCCGTCCAGGACAGCGGTACTCACGCTCGGCGATCTGGAGCACCGGGTACCCCAGGTAGAAGCTGAACTCCACCACACTCAGGTTCCGGAGCAGTTCACTCACTTGGGTCCCGTTCCAAAACCCCTGCGCGCTCTTAACGGCAAAGACGATGTTCACCGGGCCCCGGCGAGGAGCCACCCTTGAAGAGCCCACGGTGACATTCAAGATCTGAAAGGAGGAAGTTGTGGTCAGCTTCTAAAGCACACAACAACGTCCCGCTAAGCTGGACACTGATTTCTCTCCCACAACTTCTCTCGCTGGGGGAAGGTTTTTAAAGGAAGGATAATGGGCTTCAGTGGCCTGGTCCCCCTTCGCGACACTTTCAGTCCTCACGGTGAATGAATATGTTTGCACATTAAATGACGAACTGAACGTGTGTGTCCATCGTCCCTCCCCCTTTTATCCCAAATCTCACAGAAATAACAATAAGCCTGAGTAGAGAGGAATAAGTCCACAGCAGTACTGAGAATGGAAGAAAACCTGAGATGCTGTCAAATTTCTGGGAAATGGAGAGAGGCTGGAATCGTGTTGATCTAAACCAGAACAGAGGGACAAGCCCACAGGCGCGGACACCGGCGTAGCTGAGAGCCGTTCTCCCGGAGGGCTGCGGGGCCGGGACGGGCCCCAGAGGAGGTCCACAGGAACCGAGAGTCACTGCCACGATCGTTTAAAGGCTGCGCGCCAAGGAGCCGAGCCAATTTCCTCTTCCCTCTCCGACAGCCACACCCAGGCCCACACAGAGGCGCCAACCTCGGCCACATCTCCACCCAGAACAGCGGAGCCAATGCTCCCTGAGGACGATGAGCTCCTTGCCCAGGACCAAGAGAAGCACCGCGGGGTAGGCCCCTGAGCAACGGGGTGGGTGGGGACCGCTCACAGGAAACGAGGAGGAGAGAAAAATGAAAAAGGCAGCTCCGCCACAAAAACACACTCACATGCTCCATCCCCGGGCACAACCTCCTGATCTTGCACTGGGGGCCGGGGTCCCGGTCCATCTGTCCCTGACCAGCCACAGCCCCACCGCCGGTAGAGACTGCCCCGTGCCCCACTGGGTCTCCCACCAGGACACAGGGCTGACGTGGAAACAGACCAGACAGCTGAGCGGAAGCCGGAAGAGCTCCCAAATTAACCACTAGCTCCTTTATTCCTAACGCCAACCAACCACTGGTCTGCAGGCAGGTGCAGACAACTAACAGGGGTGGCTCAGTTGGTTGGAGTGTTATCACGTGCACTAAAAGGTTGACGGCTCAATTCCAGGTCAGAGTGTGCACCTAGCTTGTAGGCCTGGTCCCCAGACGAGGTACATACAGATGGCAACCAAGAGATATTTCTTTCTCTCCCTCTCTCTCCCCCTTTCTTTACCTCCCTAGCTCCCTCCCCTTTTTCCCTCTCTCCCTAAAATCATAAACACATCCTTTAGTGAGGTTTAAAAAAATAATGTTCTTTGAATAATGGATTTTTAAAAAATAAATAAAAGGACCAAAATCAACACAGTATATTGGCTATACAGAAAACAGAGGTTAACTCGGGGAACAGAGACAACTTTTTAAAAACCCTGATGTCCCCAGAGACCTTCAAGGTGCTATTACATCCTCATGAAAGATAATCCTGTATTGCCCTGGCTGGTGTAGCTCAGTGGATTGAGTGCGGGCCTGCAAACCAGACCATCACAGTTCAATTCCCAGTCAAGGCACAAGCCTGGGTTGCAAGCCAGTTGCCAGCAGGGGACACACGACAAGCAACCATACATCGATATTTCTCTCCCTCTCTCCTTCCCTTCCCCTCTAAAGATAAATAAATAAAATCTTAAAAAAAAAAAAAAAAGATACTCCCACATTGTTATAGGAGAGGCCACAACAAAAAAGGAACAAAGACTAGTGAAGGAGAGATGGCTAAGACAAAATTCAACAGAGGGATCAAGTAACACAATAAACACAGAGGAAGAGTAAGTTAATGACTGGGAAGACAAAGTTTAGAAAATCTGTAAAAGCAGGGAATTATACAAGAGATTAAAAAGATACATAAGAAAAATAAGAAACATAAGTGAATCCAAGAGCATCAAAACTGGCGTAGTTAGGCACTTCCCCCATCGGATATACTACAAGTTAGTATGATTCCTTTTTAGCACCTTCCTGAGCTTCCTGCACCCGCTCCCCTCCCCTCAGAGCACCACAGCTGAGCTCCCTGCTTATCTGCTCCGAGGCCCTGGAAGGGAGGGCAATCCTGAACGCTAAGAACAGAACAGGCTCCCCTGGAGGGAATTAGCAAGAGTTCAGTGCATCTCCGAGGAAATGCTATGAAACTAGTTCCCCCCTAAAGGCTAAAGCAGCCTGTCCCGCCGCCTTCGGGGGCTCTCCTCACCTGCACAGTGAAGTTGTAGGTGCCCAGATGGTGTTTCCTCACTTCGGAGAGCGCTATCAGCAGGCCTTTCTCGATGCGCTGCGTGAAGTTGCAGAAGCCGGTGTCCACGCTCTGAGGCACGAACTGCAGGACTGCAAGAGAGACGCAGTCACAGGCCCGTGAGCCGGGCGTGCCTTCGGGACCAAGGAACCAGGCGAGGCAGACCGAGGACCAAAATCGACCAGTGTGTCCGTAAACAGGGTCAAGTTCTAGGACGTGTTTTTTTTTTATGTTTCTCTCATGAGAATGCAGAGTCATCACTGCACCAAAGGAAGATATGCAAGGGGAAGGCAGCGCTATCATTTTTAGATGGGAAAGTACTTACCTGACTGAAACATTTCAAATATATTTGAATTCATTAGAGATGAATTCTGAAGTATTCATGGGTGAAATGACATGACACCTGCCATTTCTTTAAACACTCTAGCTTCCTCCATTATGTGTGGGGAGAGACAGAACAAAATTGGGAAAATGTTGGTAATTTTTTAAGCTTAGTGGCAGGCATATGTGACCTGAATATGTTACTTTCTCTACTTTTGTAGGTTTGAAAAATGTCCCTACTAAAAAACTAAATAGGATATAAAGAAAAGCTATGAATTTCAGGGAGTGTGATAATGATACTATTGACAGGTACACATGTATGTATGGATACATGTATGTGTGTATGTACATGTATCTCTGTTTATGTTTAATAATCCTTCTCTTTCAGAGACATAGGCTGAAATATTTATGAGTGAGACGATGTCATCTCAAAATCACGTGAGATGCTCTCAGGACCGACCCATGTTGCGGCAAATGGCAGTGTTTCAGAAATAAGTCCGACAGAAAAACTCAAGAACCATGATTTCACTCATATGGATACAAAGCTGAAAGCAGCCAATGAATGAACAAGAACAAACAAAACTTCACAGACAGCAGTGTGGCGGTTACCAGAGGGCAGAGGGCAGAGGGCAGAGGGGCGGAGCCGTAACGGGGACAGGGGTCAAACACATGGGATCTGACTCTCGGGGGTGGGCACACAATACAACATACAGGAGATGTACCGTAGAAATGTGCACTGGAAACCTACATGAGCTTATTAGCCAACGTCACCCCAATACATTTAATGAAAAAACAAACCAAGAAACCTCCCAAAATAACGTGAGAGGAGGGACTGTAGATGGGGGTGTGGATGGAGCAGGGAGTTGAAAATTGTTGAAACTGTGTGACAGTTCCGGGGGGTTCACTGAACTGTCCTGTGTACTTCCGTCTACGCTGGCAATTCTTCCTAGTTAGCCTGTTTCTGAAAATTTAAATGAGGTTTTTTAAATCCTCACCAAATTTTTTAAAAATACTTTTTTAAAAAGTAAAGTGAGATTCCGTTTACAAGTCTAAACAACCGCGGTCGGCGGCCTCACCCGTCTGAACCTGGAACCTGGACTCCGGCGCGAGGAGGAACGGCCTCACGGCCAGGATGAGAGGCGTCTGGTCGCGCACCAGTTTGCTGTTCACCAGCGCGTTGATGACGGATATTGCCGTGTAGACAAAGGGGCCCGACGTGACCAGGAAAGTGAAGTCAGCGAACAGTTCGTAAACCTATGAAAACCAAAAGGACAAGAGATAATGGTTGTCAAATAAAAGTACCATCCACCCAATGCCAGGAAGCTGGATTGAGCAGAAAAATAATAAAGTAAAATAAATAAACAGTGAGTTTTCAATGAAGGGCTAGGGCTTTACAGACAGTCAACAGTGTATTTGAGTCGTTACTCTAACACATCTGCTACCCTTCCCTAAAACAGCACAAAATTACCAGAGTGAGGACGGTGAGGAAGAACAGCCAACAGTACAAACTAAATAAGGAGTTATGGGAATTCAATGTGTCTGCTGTGTTTAACCCACATATAAAAAATAGTTCTTCTACTGAGCAATGTTTTCCGAAAGAAACAGGTGAGCCACACATGCAAGCATAAAATTTCTAGCAGCCACGTTTAAAAAAAAAAAAAACATAAAAGGAACAGGTGAAATTAACTTCAAGGACATTTTACTTAACCCAATGTAGGTGATGTATCATTTCAATGCAAATTACTTGACATCCCTTTTCCCACTAAGTCTTTCCAATCCAGGGTGTGTTTGGCACTGACAGCCCATCTCCATTCAAAACAGCCCCATTTCACACGTGGCTCATGGCCCCCCCATTGGGAAGTGCGGGGGGGGGGGTCTCCAGCGTGGCTGCCGAGCTTATCAGGGGAGGGGAGGCCTTAGCACAGTGTCCACCAGAAACACCTGGAAATGCGTCTCTGTCTCACTGAATGTACAGAAACACGCACTCTCCCTAAAATGTCATTTAAACTCAAATCCAAGTCCTTCCATGTAAATCAAGAGAAGCACGACCCTTTGGGCTGTCACCCCAAACTTCGGCCTTGCAGCCCCCTCATCCCGACTCTGACAACACACCCCTCCGATGGACTGACCCTGGCCCAGCCTGGGGTCTGGAAGGGCTTCCCTGACCCCGCAGCATTTGAGTAGAGACCCAAAGGACAAACAGGCACTCGCCAGGGGAAGGGAGGGAGGGAAAGCGCGTTTTGTGACCACTGTCACGCGCCGTCCCCCGGGCACCTGTGTCAGACCCCCTGCCGTGGGAACCTACCTTGAGCTCCACAGCGCGGTTGAAGTGGACCCTCAGCACCTCCTTGATGGACGTGATGATGTACTCCTGCACGGCTCTCCTGGCCAGCACTGCAAACCAACGCAGTTAGTGTCGCTGCAAATCCTGCAAGCATCACGCTTCCGGGCCCCGGGGCAGCACCCGGGCCATGCCAGTGTGGTGTCGGCTCCAAAAATCGTTTTGTACACAGGCCCCAACGAGGAAAGAACACAGTGGATCTTTAAAGACACCAGGTCAGCCATGCTCAGCATCAGCTTGGCCACGGAGACCCTCCACTCTGCCCGGGACAGTGAGACCGGGGACCAGACTCTGTCCTGGCCCAGCCAGGGGACGGACCGCATGGAGTCCTCATTGTCCACAAGAGGCAAGTTCCTTCAGCATCTCATAAACTCGCTAACAAGACGAACCCATTCGAGGACCTGCTGTATTACTCTGAATAGTCCCTACGGACCACCACCGCAACTTCCACCTTCTCAAATCACTCAGAGTAAGATCTAAAACTGCAACACTGGGGTATGGGTCTCGGAATGTTTGGAAAGAAGAATAATCAACAAACCAGGATCTCATGATTCCTCCAAGCATCTCTGGTTTCCCCAGAGCCAAGCGAGGTGAGAAAGCGCTCCTGCGGAGCCCAGGGTCAGGCCGGCCCAGGGTGGGGAGGGCGGCCTCACCCTGCACTGGATACGTGTGGCAGAACCTTCCTAACGGTGTGTCGGGGATCAACAGAGTGTGCTTACTATTATTACAGAGCTAAGAACAAAAAGCAAAAAAAAAAAAAACCCACACAACACCCTTTCCGAGGACAAAGAATCACCCCAACCCTCTCCTTGATGTATAACTTAAGAAAAAAAAAACAAACAAAAAACCCAGAGTCAAAATCTACATGATGATTCTAAATGATACTTCCTGTGGGTCCAAATGATCACGGAGAACAAAAGCCGGCACTCCTCGCCACTTAGAGACCACGGGACAAACGGTCTGGCTACTTCCGCCCAACTCTGCACACTCACACTGTGGAAGCGTGTGTGTATAGTGGGAGTGGGTGAATTTTACCCCAAAATATTACTTAAAATACATGGATCCTTAATGAAGGACACCAAGTTCATTAACTGTGTATCATATATGAAAGTTAATCCAAGCTACACATATTTGACATTCTTAGAGATATTAAGTGATTTCTAATCATTTGTAGAATAAATTCTAAAAGACACATTATAACTAGAAGTATCATAAATGTCATAGGATCTCAGAGATAAAAAAGCTTTCAGTGGGTTTTTTTTAATGAGCTTCTTCCAACTGACCCCTTTGTAGCTACTGTGTAACAATTCTGTAGCAAGGAAGGAAAGTGTCATGTCTGTTACAACTCTGAGCTCTCTTCCAGCTACTCTAATCCCGAAGTTGAAAGTTCACCACTTTGTGCCAGCCTCCTTTCCTGCTAATTACCTCCTCCCATTATACGATCTAACAACCAGCCAAGCTGAATGCCCTTGGGCTGGGCCACCGCTCCACCCCCAACCTGGAGGACACCTCCCTCCATCTTCAGATGACAAGTCTCATTAGACGTGACCTCTAATTCACATCCCTCCAAGCCTGTCCCGCTTACAGAGCCCTGCCTCAACCATTCTCCACACAGCTGCTAGAAAACACGGCTGAGCATCTCTCCTGCTGGAATGCACGTGCCTTGCAGGACTCTCTAGATCCCATAAAGCTTCTTAAAGCACTTCCCACAAACTCAGTGCTCCGTAATTACTGGTCCCACGAGTTAACAAATGGTTGTCCCATTTGGGGAGGGTGGACGTGAGAGAGCAAAGGCTTCAGCTGCCCCCAGCAGCGAGCAGGGGACGCACGGCCCATGCCACTTGACACAGGAAGACCAAGCATGTGCCCCTTCTCCTTCCCCACCCCCACCTCTCCTTGTCCTCCCTTCCCAGCCCATGCCACCCCTTCTCTGCCTCTCCTGCCACCTTCTCCCTCTTTGTTCATCCCTCCCCGTCGGCCCCCTTGGAATCGACACACAGATGCAGGCTGTGCAGCCACAGTGTGTTGTATGTAAGTACATGCACAGGTCACGAGAACTCATGCAGCCCTGTCACTTATCATGAAGAACAGGCTGGGGAGCCTGACTGAGCAGGCCCAGTCCCCGAACTGGCACAGACATTAACAGCAACCGCGCTCCGGTTTCATGGGACAGGCAGCGGCCAGGGACGATGCTGCTTGTCGGCTAATCACTCAGGTTTCTCTCAACCATGTCTTCTCAGCATCCGCTGGGTTACCAGCTCCACAGATACTATCCTAGCGAAAGCTTCTATGGTTTGTTTAAATCTTTTATTTGTTCCTATTGCTACTACTAACTGCCACGCAATATTAGCGGGTGCTCTTTATATACCAGGCACCATGTTAAGTATTTTCCACGCCCTGATGCATTTAAATCTTTACAACAACCCATCGAAGCGGGGGCCGCTATCATCCTCATTTAATCATGGAGGAGACAGAGGCTCAGCGAGGCTAAATACCCGTCTGAAGGACTCACAGGTGATCACAGAGTGAGGATTACTAACCTAGTAGATCTCTGGCTCTCAAGCCTACACTGAGATCGCCCCCACCCTGAGAGGTGACCAAGCAGCGCCTTACCAGTCGTGATCAAGTAGGCATCAGGAACGGTGACGTCACACACATATGGCGGCTTGGTGGGGAGCGAGGCTGGAATAGTGGCCATGGCTTCGGGGGTGGGGGTGGAGCCGGGGTGGAGGGACGGCGAGGGAAGAGCCACGCTGCTCTCGTGGGGACCCTGAGTCTCGGGGCTGCTGATCGGGACGGTGTCCACAGCGCTGGTGGGGCCGGCAGGGGTACCGGATGTGCCTGGAACGGTGGTGATGTTCATCGCCGCCTCTGTGGGGGAGGAGGATGGGCCCACGAACCGAGGCTCTGTAGGTGCGGGTGAAGGGGTCACTTCAGAAACCAGTGAGGATGCTGACGCTGGGGACATGGCCGTGACCAGCACTGTGGTGGTGGGAATGACTGTGGAGAAAGAGGACGAGACAGACGTGGGATCATCCATAGCCCGGAGGTCACCATCAGAAGGGGACGGAGTCGAAAAAAGAGATGATTCCATTGGAGGAGCTGTTGTATGAAAAGCAGTCAAAAGCGACGTTAAGTGAGGTCCCGGAGTCCAAATGTCAAGGACGGGCTCCGAACTGGAGGGCACCGAGGTTGGGGCTGCAGGTTCATGGGACGTGGGTGGAAACGCAAAGTCGGAGGTAGCTGCAGTGCCGGCCGAGGTAAAAGGAGCTTCAGAATCTGTCGGCGAAACTGCGGATGCTCCAGAGAACTTGAGAGCCTCGGAGGGGAAGCTTGACAGCGGCGTCGCTTCCGAGTCTCCAGGGAGAAAAGCGGACGCATTTAAACGAAGGTCTGAACTTGGCCAGAGCTGAGAAAATTCCCGGTTCGTGGAGTTAGGAACAGGAAGCTGAGGTGGCTGCAAACTGATCGAGTCGGACAATGTAAATGCCTCAACCAGGGTAGAAAAGTCCTGAGGGGCGAAGGCTGACAGATGGCTTGACCCCGGAGCCGGAGAGGCAAGGAGGAGCCCTGAAGATGAAGGCACCGCGCCGCTGAGCTCCAGGGGCGGCGTCGAGAAAAAGCCTGAGGCCCAGGCCAGCGTACTTGCACCTTCGTGGTGGGAAACACGGGCAGGCTCTCCTGACGGATCCGAACCATAAGAAGAGAAGAGAGCTGGGTCTCTGGGAGCAAGCGAGGGCGTGGGCGCATTTGCGGCGACGGAGAAGGACGAGGCGAGGAGAGCACCGGGAGTGAGCGAGGGAGACACAGCGGTCCCACTGGGTGGCGTTCCTTGAGTCTCCGCGCCAGAGAAGGAGCCAAAGGCAGTTGTGCCGAGTGACACTGGCAGGGAGAGGCGGCCAGGGGAAGGAGACGCCGGGCTGGACAGGACACTGCTCCTGGACACCTCGGCTGCAAGCCCGACACTTGTTCTGGAGATTTCCACGGATGGGGAAGACAGTGGGACCACGGGTCTCGAGGGGAAAAGCGTATTGTAGTCCTGAGGCTCCCCCTCGAACTCCGAGAGGTCCGCCGCCGTGCCGCTCAGCGGGGAGACGCTGCTGCTCCCCGCCCACCCGGTCACGGCCTCCGCGCCGTCCCCCGAGCCCACGTCTCTCTCCGCGAGGCTCGGTGACAAACCGTGCCGTGGGGACACCATGGTGCAGGATGCACACCACGTGTACGGTCTGGGTGGAGACGCGGGGCGCCAGGCGTGGGCGTCGCCCGCGCGCCCCGGGAACGCTGAACTGCCAGGCACTTCCCACGCGTCCCTGGAGTTGCCGGGAAGAACGGGGTTGTGGGAGACATCAGCCGATTGAGTAGAAAAGGACACAGACGCAGGGAGAGTTGGAGACAAAGCTGAATTTCTGCTGCTGCTGCTGCTGCTGCTGCTGCTGCTGCTGCTGCAGCTGCCGTGATTTCCCAAAGCAAGGGCCGTCTGGGACACGGTGGCAGTGGAAAACGTTCCTGCAGAGACGGTTTCTCCTGGCCTCTGACCCCAAGCAGTGGTCCCTGCAGAGGATCGGTCTGTACCCGTGGCCAGAACTTCCTCTGGAGGCGCCGAGACCTCCCCCGAGGGGGGCAATGGCTGGCGGGTGACGCCATCGCCTACTGGCTGAGACACAGATGACGCTGGGCTGAAAAGGAGGCTTGCAGCGCCCTCTGCTCCTGAGGCCGCGGTCTCCAGCGTCTCCAGCGACGTCCTGCCTGGTAAGTGCCCGGGAGGGTCAGGAGGATGAAGCACCAAGTTCCTACTGGGAGCTGGAATTGCGCCCTCGCTGGGGAGGACGGTCAACCGAAAAGCGCCAACGGGACTCGCAGAATCAGCATGTGCCGTGTCTTCCCAGGCTGAGGCCACTTCTTCATCTTGAGAAGAAACCTCGGGTAAGGACGGCGTCGGCAGGGAGTCCAGTGCTTCTCCCGGCAGCCCCGGGGGGCTGGCTGTGAGGTGCTGCGCTGGGGAAACCAGGCGGGAGGTGGGCCACTGGGTTTCTGGCAAGAAGTTCTCCATCTCATCCTCTTCGAGGACCACCTCATTGCTCGTCACTGACACGGAGTTCGCCCCGAAGATGCTGTGACCTGCTGCACTTTGGGTCAGCGGTCCCGGGTCTGAGAAGGCCGTATCAGAAGCAGTGGTGGCTGGGGATGGCGTGCCCTGGAGGGAACGGCTGGGCCGGGCCCCTGGGGCGGTTTTTGCTAAGGCTGTGTGTGCGGGGCTCCCCACGGTGCTCTCCCGCGGCGGGAGCTCCACGGAGGGCAAAGCGAGGCCGCGCTGCTCAGGAGAACGCTCGTCTGCAAAGCCAATAAAAGCCGGGTCAGTTGCAAGGCCAGGCAAGTCACACCGCTCGGCCTTGGATTCAGATATAAAAATTTACTCTTTCAACAAAGACCCACTCACTGGGAACAGTCACGATTCACTGAAGTTAAAAGCTAACTGGAAGCCAGCAATTGCCAGCATCGCTGCCGGGGTAACATCTGCCAACAGTCACACGTCGGAGCGCCAGCTTCACTGAATCTGGGGTGTGTGTACACAAAGGCATTTTTTCACTTTCTCTCTAACGTCACCACAGAACACTGCAAACAGGGGAGGCCTTGGGAAGTTGTCTAGTCTGTTCTCTCTCGTTTATCACATGTGACAGAGAAGCTGGGAGAAGGTAACGAAACCAATTAGGTGATGATGTGTGGACAGAAGTGGAGCCGGAATGTGAATGCAAGCCTGCCTTCCCCTGCCAGCCCGTGTTCTTTGTCTTCCATAAGAGCTGGCTCCCGAGAGAAATGAACACGGCAACTGGGACAGCATCCCTCACTCCCAGGTGGGAGGGTCCCACAGCTTCCTGGTCCGATGGCCTCCGCCTGCGGCCCCGGCTGCCTCCCGGCTCGGCTCTCACCACCCTGCTCCTGTCTCACGCCTTCCCGCCTGTGCTCTGTCCCAACGAGCAACTCCCTGCACCCAAGGTCTCTCTGGCTCGGTACTTTGCACACTCTTGTCCCTCTGCCTGGAATGCCCGTCCCCGGCTCTAGCCCAGGACGACGCCTACTGGTCCTGCAGAGGCAGCAGGGACACCCCCTCCCTCCTCAAGTTGGGCTAGTACCTCTCCCTAGCCCCTGCCGCCGTATCCCTCACCACACCCCTGAGATCAACTGTGAGCTTCCCAAGGACCAGGACGGTGGATCTGCATCCCTTACATAAAGTCTGAGCTCGATGAGCATCTGTTGAATGAGTGAGCGAGAAGCGTCTGAGGGCCAAGTTCTCGTGTGTGCCAAAAGCATCCTATCGTCTTCTCAGACTCCCGCATTTCCTCTCCTTGTGGCAGCTACCACTAATCATTTAAGTGGTTTAGGTGACCCTACCTCTGATTCAGATACACTGTTGCACAGAGAAGCAGGACACGTGGTGGCCACAGCCCCCCGTGACGGCCAGGGCACGGGGGGCTGTCCAGGGCGACCCAGGCTGGGGACTGAGTCACTATCATGACTCGTAACAACATCCTGCTCCCACTTGTCCAGACAATCTATCAGAACACAAGTGTGGGTTAGCATAGGGATAATCCTGGATGCACTCTTTTTACTTTTCAACAGTAAATTATTTCTATTCTATTCCTGGCACTATGGCAGACCGGAGACCTCAACACCTCCCCACTTCATAAAGCTTAACCATGCTCGATAAACCTCCAAAAACATTCTCCTATATGACTGAGCCTCCCCGACAATGGGGGACACGTACTGAGTATAGCAGCAAAGCAGGAGTTGACTATGGAGGGGTCATCAAACACTGAAGTCACCAGAGAGGCAGGAAGGACACTAGACCAGGCCACCCAATGCTAGGACACAGGGGAATGAGGGACAAGTGAAGAACCCAATTAAAAACCAGCTCCCAAAAGCGGAGACCCCGGAAGTGCCCGTCTAGGGGCACGCGTGAATAAGAAGAAACTGACCCACCCATCAGAGAACATCAAGAAAAAGTATCTGTTGCAAGTCTGACTTCATGCTGCTATTTTACAGAAAGTCTCCCCAAGTTTGGAACTTATACTGTTTGTATGGTCTGAAGACGTATCTGCTGAGACCACAGTTCAAAGTGGACTGAGCGGGCCTCCGACGCCTTCCAGAGGCTAACGTAAATCATCTCCAGAAAAACGCGCTCTCAAACCAGGCCATCGGGGATTCTGCAGCTAGAATTCCAACAAACAACTGCACAATTCAAAATTACACAGCACGTAAAAGAAAATAAGGTACTATGGGGAAAAAAAAGCCAAGAAACTAACCAAAAGAGGAAAAAATACACAAACAGTATCAAGTCCGTACAGACTTCAGATATTGGAATTATGGAATATATTTTTTAAAGTGTGTTCATTCATTTAAAAGAAGGACAGAAAACATGAGTAAGGAGCAAGAGGCTATCTATGTAAGTGGCTAAAAAGACTTGGAAAAAAAACAAAGAACAACAGGAACAAGTATAAAAGACACGTGGACAATAACTGGGGGGGTGGAAATGGGAGGGAGGAGGGGAGCACAGGGGGGTGGACTGGGATGGGAGTAAAAGACAGAAAACTACTTGAACAACAATTAAAATAAAAAAATAAATTAAAAGTACAAAGGACATTTGAAATTAAAAATATTTATTTACATTTTAAAACTAAATACATAATATACAATAAACAATAAACATCATTTAGACATAGCTGAAGAGAGATTTCATGAACTGGAGGATATACCCAAGAATGGAGCACAGAGAAAACAAAAGGATAAGAAATATAAAAAGGATACATTAAGACACATGGAAGATAGATGAGAAAGCCCAAGATACATTTGATCAAAGTTGTTTTGTTTTAAGATTTTTATTTATTTATTTTTAGAGAGAGGGAGAGAAACATCAATGTGTGAGAGGTACATTAATTGGTTGCCTCTCACATGCCCCCCACTGGAGACCTGGCCCGCAACCCAGGCATGTGCCCTGACTGGGAATCGAACCAGTGACATTTCGGTTCACAGGCTGGCACTCAATCCACGGAGCCACGCTAGCTAGGGCTGGTCAAAGTTTTAAAAAGAAGGGATTGGGGGGGTTGGGGAGAGACAATATTCAAAGAGATAGCACTAAAAATTGTCCAAAATTAGTGACACGAATCCTTCAATGCAGGAAGACCGTGACATCTCAAGCAATGTGAATGTTCTCAAACCCCATGCCTGCACGCACCCGAAGGGCACGAAGGACACCGTGCACACATGAAGGGCACCACAGGGCACCGAAGACACAGAGACACTGGAAATGCAGTCCAAGAACAGAAATGGCAATCACAGCATCACATACCTACTTCACAGAACTGGGAGCCAAGTGTCAGTGAAATAAAATCTCCAAAGTGCTAAGAAAAAATACCCAGCATCCTAGATTTAAATAACCAGCAATACTTCCTATTCTTAAAAGAAGGCCATTTTCAGATCAGAAAAAGGAGTTGTAACAACAGAAGACCTCAGCAGAGCAGCCTCCCTGAAATAGGGCAGTCCCTAAATTCATGGACAGATTCTGCGGCTTTAAGCAAAAACAATGAACCAATTTTACCAAAGGCTAATTGAGATAAACAAGAGTTAAGTTCCTCCAGCATCTCACGACATTATAACAAAGCAACACTGAATTAAACAAGGCTAATGGAGGACCTGCTATAATTCAAGAGGAAAGGTAATTACCCCAGAAGGAAAATCTGAGAAGAATAGAGAATGAATAAATAATAAAGGTAATATGGTTAAATCTAAACAAATTCTGATGGTATAAGTGAACAATAATGCTACGTAATTTGTGAGGTTATAAAAATCATAATATGGAATTAACATAGTTTATTACAATTGCACAGAAGCTGAAAGGGAATATTCAGAGGTATTCGTGACTCACTAGCAGAGATGCAAATTAAGAGTGAAGACAAAATTCTGTGAACAGATTTTGTGTATTGATACCTATAGTAAAATTTGTAAATAACAGTCGTATATTTATATAGACACAGTATTTCTAGCTGGTTCCATCAACATTTGAAAATCACAGAATTACACCAGATAAAAGCTGCTTCCTTTGAAGGGTCATATTCCTTTCTACATAATAGCTCTAAAAAAATGAACAGTAAAAGAAGAAAATCATTTCTTAAGAGATTTTAAGCTGCTTCATGGCAATATTATTCGACATCTCTTGTCTTCTAGACAACCTGGCTGTAGGATTTCTTGTCTATGTGCTTTTACGATTTATCTGTCACATTCCAAGCACACGTAAAAGCAAACATGATACTTCTTACACAAGGTAAAGTAACAGCTTTTCTACAGGAAAGGTTAAACATTACACATTTAAAGAGTCATGAGATTAACATTCTGTCCAACCATATAGCAGGTAAACTTGAATGTTTTCCTAAGGATAAACCATTTATGTGCCTGTTTTAAAACTGCTATGGTAGCCCTATCTGGGTAGCTCAGTTGGTTAGAGCACTGTCCTGTTACACCGAGGTTGTAGGTTCAATCCCTGGTCAGGGCACATACAGGAATCAACCAATGAATGCATGAATCAGTGGAACAACAAATTGATGTTTCTCTTTCTCTCCCTCTCTCTAAAAGAATAAATAAGGAAAAATTAAGATTGCTATGACATAATTTATTTTGATATATAAGATCTGAACGCAGAGTGAGGTTTCTTTTTATATGAATCAGAGACACCTTTATAAGTGCACCAGGAAACTGCAAAAGACAAAATAACAAAGAAAAGACCATTTAGTCACTAATTTATGAGCCCAGGTAGCTGATGTACATTAGAATGCAATAAACTCTGTCTTCAAAGGACAGGGAACAGGAAAAACAAAGTGGTCAAAAGGATGAAAAATTCTGAAACTCCCAATTAAGAAATGTGAGGTGTGCCAAGCAGTGACACTTTTATTTTTTTTTACTTTGGCCAAGTCCCAGGAGAGAGACACCAGCACTGAAGAGACAGCAGCTGACACGCCACAAGGAATTACTTCTGCAATTAATTCAGGAAGAGGTTAGAAAGCCCAGGTGAGTCTCTCTCCTGGCGGAAAAGGCTTCGGGGACTCTAATTTCAAGCCCTGGAGATCGGTTTTCGAGCTCAAAACAGTTGCTCACATAAGGTTCTCTCTGCAAAGACAGAGAGAAAGGAACGGTACTGAGGACACCGGGGCTCTCAGACTGTGGCCTGCACACTGGTCACGTGGGGAACCTCATATACATGCAGGCGCTGTTCAGCAGGGCTGGGGCGGGTGCTGAGCTTCTGCACCACTGCCCAGGGGGCGGAGGGGGAGCAGGTCTGCAAA